CCTCTTCAGTTTATGGACGAGGATACTGGGAGGGTTTGAGGGACTTGCCAAAGGCCACATGGGTGGCTGGTGGAGGTCCTGTCTCAGGGCATGGAGACCAAGCAGCTTCAGAGTGTCTCCTTCCAGAAGAGGGTGACATCTGTTAGGAGAGCAGTAGATGGAACTGGGACCTGCGTCCCCGTGCCCCTTGTATTTGGGGCACTTGGAGCTGTTGAACTTGTCAGACTCTGAAGCCTAGACATGGTAAAATCAGCTAGACAGTGAGGGCTAAGAGGGGGTTTATAGAAACGCACACGGAGGCAGATCGGGGAGATGGAGCCTTTGGAACTGAAGTGAGAGAAGGGAGTAGACAAGTGTCAAGGTGCAGCCTGAACTGGGGGTACAGGGCGGCAGGTACAGGGGCAAACAAACATGTGTTGAATGCTTGCTCCCTCTGGGCCAAACGCTTTATGGATAGTAGTTCATGGAATCTTCCCACATGTCCTTTGAAGGAGGAGTTTTTAATTCCCATTTATAGTTAAGCCAAGCAATGATTAGAGCTCTTTCAAAACTCTTACATGAGCAGGAGAAAAGAGATTTGCCCTCATAGTTACAGGATTCCCCAGCCAGGCTCTTCCTCATCAGGGACGCCCGCAGGCAAGGCCGCGGTCTGGGTGGCCAGAGCATCCAACCCACCGGGGAAGGGCTCTGAAACTGGGCTTCAGCCGCGAGTCTTGGAGAAACACGGAAGTTTCTCTGGCATTTCCCACAAGAGCAGACTTAGGGGGAGTTTTGTACCTGGCATCCCAGCACGAGGTGGGGCAGGACCTGGGAGCTCGGGGTTGGGGGCGGGGGGCAGCATGGCGGCAATGGTTCCTTCAAGCCTTGCTGTGGAGGGAAAAATTGCCATTTTACGTTTCAATTAGGAGGGATACTGGGGTCAATCAGCAGTGCCACCAGAGGAAAATGGGCCCAGCCCAGACCTGGGCCTCTCCAATTATTATTAATGAACTTAACTCTCAGAGCTGCCAACCTTTTTATATGCAAACTAGGCCTTTATAGGGCCACTGGCAATCAGGACTCATTAATGAACTCAGAAGGAGCCTCAGTGAAGAATCTTACAGGGGAGGAGAGAGAGGCTCATGCTTCCACCCACATCCTGGACTAGAACCAGGCCAGACCGCGGGCAAGGCTCCAGCCTGCCACAGGAGGGTCCTGCAGCTCCCTAGACCTGCTGGCCTCAGGGAGATGCTTGCTGACCAGCCACCCCACCTGAGGGGGCCCCACCCACCCACAGGAACTTGCCTCTTTCATTAAAGGGAGGAAAGATGGTGGGTTGGCACCTAGCTGCTGATTCTGAGCCATCATCAGTCCTCTCCCTGCCTCTGTGTCTGCTTTGCAAAGTAGAAGCAATCCGTTAGGTTGGTTCTGAGGACTCTCAGATCCCAGTCTCCCTCAGAGCCGCATTCGAGGGTAAGCAGTGTTTTGCTGTAGGAGGTGGAGGTGAGACCCAGCACTTCTCTTTCTGCAAATGCACCCACAGACCGAGCTCCTCCTGCAGCTGTGGGTGTAGCAGGAGGATGCCAGACCCCGGGCATGCTCTAGGTGGAGGGAGGGCTGCCCAGGGCCCCAGGAAGGAGGAGGAGCGGAGCTGGCTCACAACTCCCCATTTTTCATAGATCTTCTCTCTTGATTTCCCAACATCACACACCTCCTGCTCCAGTCCCCAGCTTTATCCTTTCCATAAAATCACTCATCGTCTGTGCATCCCACCTTCTCATCTCATCAGAGCAGCATAATGAGATGGAAGCTGAGGCAGGGGGACAGTACAGAATTGTTAACACTCTCTCAATGTGGACCTCAAGGTCTCTGGAGACCCATGTGCTTTAGAGCCTCAGGACCACATTCCGGGTTCAGTCCTTCACCCCCTTCCCCTCCTGCTGGCCTGCCTCCCTGCTGTGCCTCTTTGTTTTATTTATTTATATGTAAGCGTGGTAAAATACGGCATATCCTACAATTTACCATCCTAGCCAGTGTTAAGTGTACAGTTCAGTGGCATTAAGTACATCACATCATGGTGCAGCCATCACCGCCCTCCTTCGTCAGCCACCACCAACTCTCCAGAACTTTCTCATCTTCCCCAACTGAAATTGTGTGACCATTAAAAACACAAATTCCCCATTCTCCCTCCCCAAGAAACTACCATTCTGTCTCTATGAATTTGACAATTCTACATACCTCCTAGGAGTGGAATCGTGTCCTACTTGTCCTATTGTAAATGCTTATTTCACTTAGTATAACGTTTTCAAGATTTGTACATGCTGTAGCGTATGTTAAAACTTCCTTCCTTTTAAGGCAGAATCATATTCTGCTGTATGTATGTATACACTTTGTTTGGCCGTTCATTCATCAACGAGCACTTGGGTTGCTCCCACCGCTTGGCTGCTGTGATCTGGGTGTACAAGCATCTGCTCTCGTCCCTGCTTTTAGTCTTTGAGTGCATGCCCAGGAGTGGGTGGCTGCATTTGCTGTTCCTCTCCAGCTGCAGTTCAGGATGAAAGCATGCGTGGCCTGGGGGAGAGGAGAAGGGTTTAGTTTAATGAGACTGGGGCGCCTGCTCCCTGAGGCAGTGTCCCAGCAGTGCCACAGGACTGCCTGACACGGGGTGCTCAGGCTCTGCTTGTGTTTGCAGAAGGCCTCACTCCTGCCCACACCAGTCAAGCCTGGAATACTGATGCCCTTCTACCCAGCTCCTGAGAATCCAGCTTCTGCCTCCCAGCTAGGCAGAGCACCCACACTCCTTATTTGAGCCCATTCTCCCTGAGCCCTCCCTGGACAGAGCTGACTGCTCCAGGGAAAGGGACCCCAGCCATTCATTGCCTCCGTCCGCCAGGACCTCCGGGCCCCGCTCAGCTCCAGGAGTATGCGTGCCCGCTGCTGGCCTCTAGGAGGCACACAGTGCACATCTGCTCGGAGGGCATTTCCTTGGGGTCAGGCCCTCCCAAGAGCTGTCAGAAGCTTCTGGATTTAAAAGGTCTCTGGGGCTCATTCCAGAACATTCCCAAATGCCAGACTCAGCCCATGTATGGAAGGCCTTCCTGGCCCCCTGGCTGTGTGGTCCAGACTCACATTCAGAGTCCCACAGCCCAGGGCTTTGCCTCACTGTGGAGCTGCTCATGTGGGCTCCTCTCTCCCAGCCTTGGCAGCTTAGAACTGAAGCAAAGGGGTCATCAGTCCAAAGAGGGACAGGACGCCCAGCCAGCAGGGCCTTTCTCTGGTAGGGTAGGAGGGATGCCAGGAGGAGTCCACAGGAGCGTCTGAGTCCGGAGTACATTCACATGGACCCTAAAGAGGGCAGGGGGTGGCTTCCGTGAGAAGTGGCCTCGAGATGGTGACTCTGGGGCCCAGGATTCCTCAGTCCCATTCCCTCCCACACAGTGGCTGGGGGTGGGCAGCAGTGCCTAGGCCTATGCGTGGTGCACATCCAGATTATGCCTGGAGAGGCACCGGCACCTCTGGCTTCCTGCTGCCCAGCCTGAGCCATGCTCTCCATCCCCAGGACTGTCCCCAGCTGCTGAGAGTGGACAAGATCCTGGTGCCCGTGGAGGTGATCAAGCCCATCACTCTGAAGGCCAAGAACCTGCCCCAGCCACAGTCGGGGCAGCGTGGGTATGAATGCATCCTCAACATCCGGGGCAGCGAGCAGAGGGTGCCCGCCCTGCGCTTCAACAGCTCCAGCGTGCAGTGCCAGAACACCTCTGTGAGTGCCCCAGCCCCGCTCTGAGCAGCCTCAGCTCTCTGCAGCCACCCCTGTTGTTGTTCTTTTCAAGAGCCAAATGGGCTCAGCTCTGCAGGATTTTCCTGAACACCCACAAAACTGCTTAGCTCCCTACCTAACTGCTTCCCCCAACCCTGCTTGCCCAGCCCAGGCCTGCTCTTACATCCACTGGGCTGCGAGGTCACCAAGTGTCTGCCCACAGCTGTGGCCTGTTGTGTTACAAGAGTCCCCTGGTCAAGACAGAAGCTGTGATGGGAGAGGCTTTGGACCACCCACGGGGCCGTGGAGCACTGTTCGCCAGCAGATGTGTTTGCAGGGTGGGCCAGGCTGGAGGAACATTCACATGCATCCTCTTCCCTAAGAGGAGCTCCGGGAGCCCTGGGCCTGCCTTCCTCCAGGGCTGACCCGAGCACCTTATCAGAGTCCACAAAGGCCCACCGATGCCTTCACACTACCCAGCGGCCATTTCCCAGCACAGGAGGCTTCTGAAACAGAACAGGCTCCAGCAAAGGGCGGTGGATTCAGACAGAGCTAGCCAGAGGTGTGCTGCCCAACCCCTTTCCAGTGCTTAGAAAATCCACATGAGGTCCATGCCCAGCTGCCAACCCATTGTGTCAACTGCTGTCACTGTCCCCAGGTCCCAGGCAGTGTCCCCTCACCATGCTCTGCCCTTCCTGCCTGCTTGCCCCTCTCCTGACCTGGTGGCCTTCCCGGCCCCTCTCTGTTTTCTCGTACTCTTTCTGGTCTACCTCTGTGCACCCAGATGCTCAGAAACAAACATTAGACTTACAGACTTGTGACATTTTTTGAGCTATAAGAGACATGAACGTCCTTCCTCACTGTGCAAGAAAGAAACTGGAGGCCCAGAAGCAGGGGCAGGTCTAGGTTGGTGGGGCTGAGAGTTATTCCATTTGGGGGACCTCCTTTAAGAATGAAATATAATAAATACAAAATGAGATGCACGGGCAGACCTTAGAAGGAGCTAAAGTTCCATGCACTTTGCATAATCTGCCCCTACCCAGAGGGTAAATGCCACATTCAAGGTCACACAGCTAGTGAGTGGCAAGGCTGGGCCTGGATGCAGGGTCCCCTCCTGTGTCACACTGCCTCCCACTCATCCTTCTCATTGCTTCTGGTGCTTATATGTGGTGACGCTTAGGGGATGTGATGTGGGACCAGGAGAGTCCTGGATAAAGCGGTTCATGGGAGCACCTCACCCGTCCTGCAGGAAGCAGTCTAGGAGTAAATGGAGCTCAGAGAAGCCTACACACTTACCCAGTAGCACTCAGCATTACAGGGAATAAAGTGACAGTTGCTCTCCTGGCTTCTGAAACCCCAGAAGCATCCCCACAGCACCCAGGTGGCCAGGCTATTTTGCAGATTTCTGGATTAAACCTACTAGCAAAGGCGATATTGAAAACACCTCTTGCTTCCTCATAAATCCTGAGGCCAAGCTGACCAGCCCCGAGGGCTTGGATCAAATGATTCTTCCCCAAATAAGCATGCCCCTGGCGGAGGGGAAAGCCTGAGGCCCACGTGTGTCAGCAGAGGGCAGGTAGGGGTTTCAGATCCCAGGGAAAGCAATATTACTTCCTCAGAGAAGCTGCCCTTGGGATGTGGGCCGCAGGCATGTCAGGAGGGAGGACAGAGTCCTTGGCCTCTGATGGTCAAGCCCTCAGTTCCCCGGATGCCCTAACACTGGGCCCCACAGCCCATGCTTCAGCCGACTCAATTAAATAGGCAAGGGTACCCAGATAACAGTCTGAATTCATCCTATAAACCCCTGTGTCAGAGCTCCATCCACGCCTTGGAACTCACTGCCATTCTCTTTACCGCTAGAACTGAAGCCTATTGTGTGCAGATGTCCTCAGCCTTCCTAAACTGAGGCCTGAATCAATGAACTAGCCCATTAGGGGTTGTGCTGCCCCCAATGTGGGGGCACAGCCAGAGCCCCGACAGGTGAGTGCTGGGCAGGTGTGGGCCAGGCCTCCTCCTCTGCTGGGCCCCCTCAGGGTGCCTGGTGCTGGCACCCTTGCCAGTTCCAAACAACAAAGAAAATTACGGTGGGCATCTGCTTGGCTTAAATCTTGGGATTTCCTTACATGGGAATTTCACATCCAGAAGCCTCATGCCCCAGGACTATGGTCAATTCTGCTTCCAGCCCCTGGGGCCCCACGCCCTCCATGGGGGCCCATAGGGGTGGGCGTCCTGCCCGATTGCCCAGCCTCCTGAGTACATGGGCTCAGGCACCTCCAGATACGCTTCCAGGAGACCACGGTGGGAACATGACACTGGAGCTCTGATCACCAAGCCGAGGTGACTTTTAAGCTCTGGCCCATCTGCTGTGCTCCCCACAGGAGCTGGGAGAGCTCGTGCCGCCTGGAGTCAGGAGTGGGGGGCTGCAGCCTCCCCGCCCACGCAGGCCAGTCCTCAGCACATCTGGGCTGCTGCTCCCAAGGCTCAGCTGACTTTACTCTCATGCCTTTTTTGTCTCACTACCCTAGTGAGGAAGGGGATGGGGAAATTTGTTTGTCTACCACTTTAAAACCTTAGAAACTGAGGCAACAGGAGATGTACCCCACAGAGTAGATTCCAGGAGGAATCCCCTCTACCTACAAGGACCCACTGGAATCACACAGTTCAGGGGGACTCAGCTCTGATGCCCTCAGGAGCCTATCTTTGCAGGGGGACAGTGGGACCTGAGGATGGGCCAGGATGCCACTTGCCATCAAGTGACTGGCTTCAAAGGCAAGCTTCCCTTACTGTAGTTACAGAAAATAGCATACCATCAGGGCAGGAATACACCTGAGAGAGAACCTACTTGAGCCTGTGACAGTGTTGGGGGCTGGTGGTGGGGGGTGGTCTTGAAGCCCAGAGAAGGCAAGTGAGAAAGCCCAGGTCACACAGCAAGTAAGTAGCAAATTCAGAACTTGAATCAGTGTTGTAACACACCCCCTAGTCAAAGGTTGGGCAAAAATTAGCCTCTGAGCATGTTATCCCCAGCCTTGGTGTTATCCTGGGAGCAAGATCTGATTGGCATTACAGAGGGTTGTGGAAGAAGGGTTGTTCCACCTCCCAACTCTGTCAGCTCTCTGGTGTCGGTCAGGGAAGGGGGCAAAGGAGTTCAGAGAAACCCCACCTTTGTGATGGCAGAGGGAGGTGGGTGACAAAGAGGTCTCAGAGGACAGCAGAGAAGGAAAAGAGAGACAGGAAAATGCAGCACAGGCCTGACCCTGGACTGGCTGGGCAGCAGGTCTTTTCCAGCCCACTGTGTGGGGACAGTCCCTCAGGCAGCAGGCGGAGTGGGGAGCACCTGTATTCTTGAGCTTCTTCAGACCAAGGCTCTAGGGAAATGTCAACTGCTGCTAATAATAGTGCCCAATACCCACCTCGGCCACTGGCAGTCGTACTAGTAAGTGGGCCACGGGGACAGCCGGCCAGCTAGAGTGTTGGCCTTGAGGCCCTGAGGCTCCAGGCCCAGGTTCCACTGACCCACAGGGGCCTGACGTTTACCCCACTTTACCACATGCAAAATGAGGATGGGGAGCTCGCTGGGAGGTTACTTGTCCCCCTTCATGCTTTACTGGAGCCCAGCTGGGAACAGGTCTGCTGAGCCCTCTGAGGTCCTGGACGTGGACACAGCACACACAGGCATCTGAGGTTGTTCAGATTTATCTGCTCAAGTGGTTCCACTTCCCAGCATATCTCAGAGCTCAGGACAAGGGGATGGTTGAAGGAAAGAATATTCGAAGTATATAGAGATTTTGTCTGCTTTAGAAGGTAGAGAAACTGAGGTTCACACTTTTCCAAGGTAATGAGCAATGTCATCGGCTAGCCAGGCCATGGTGTGCCAGACCTTGATTGAGACACTTAACCTTCTGACCCCTGGGAGCCTGAAACACTCTTCTGTCAGCTCTGGGCTTTGTGCAGATTAACTGCCTGCTGATTACAGAGAGCTATATAAATGCTAAGTGGAGCAGAGCTGGGGAGGCCTGGGGGATGGGAGCCGGTGGTCCAGGCTCCCCAGCTGTTGATCCCCTCCCCCTGCAGGATGCAGGTCCTTGGAAAGAGAGGGCAGCCAGGAAAGAGTGTGACTTCCCTAGAGACTGAGGGGGCGGTGAGGAGCACCCGGGTTAATGATTTCTGTAATATTTCATAGCCAAGATCCCCGGAATGGGGAGGAAAAAGAGAAAGCAAAGCCTAACATATTCAATCCTTAAAGTCTTTTTTACTCTCAGTTTTCTTCAAAAGGAAAATGCATGTACACACACACATGCACTTCAGAACACATCAGCATTCTCATATGCATACATCTCCATATGTACCCAGGGTCTGGCACATAAACACTCAATATACGGCTGCTATTATTATTCCACATAAACATAAACATAGGGAACACAAACATATTTTTGGACCTCATCCCCAGTGTGTATACACAGATTAAAACACAATAATACACGATTGCTGATTCCCTGTGACAGGCACTGTGCTCAGACCACTGGGTGGTTATCTCAAACCCTCCCAACAATCCCATGAGCTATGCATGCTTTGTAATTCCCACCTTACGAGTGGAGAGGCTGAGACTTAGATCATTTGCCCTGAGACTTAGATCCCACAGCTGGTCACTGCAGAGCCACTTCATAACAGCATATGTGCATGTGTGCACATGCATGTATGAGGATGCGGATAATACAGATGTGTGCACCAGCTTCTTTGCAAGTTTGGCCAGCACACGAACACATTTGTGCACATAGATGCATGCGGACATATGCAGAATTTCTTGCCTTTCTGTCTGGGGGATTTGGGGGCTGTTCTGAGAGGGGCCTAAAGGTTCTGTTGATCTGTGGCCAAGAGGCTCCTGGTCACCACTTGCTTCTGCTTTGGGTCCTGCCCAGGCCCAGCCTGGGAGGCAGGAGCCAGGCTCTCGTCCTGAGTAGGCACCACCAGCGTCCCTCCTAGAGGCTGGAGCAGCCTGGAGCGGGCCCATACCAGCTTCCCCACTGGGGCCTTGGAGGAGGAACACAGAAAGGGTCGGAAGTGGAGCTTGGCTACAGGAGAAATGAGAAGGCAGGTCTGGAGACGTATTCTCTCCTGTCCCCCACAGGGCAGCCCTCTACCCCAACTCCCTGCTTCTAGCAAACTGCAGGGAGCAGCCATTCTCTAACTGGCCTGCACCAGAATCACTACAGCCGCTTGTTCAAAATGCTCCCCATCTCCAGAGGTTCCAATTCAGCAGAGCTAGGGTGAGGCCCTGGAACCTGCATTCAGTAGGCCCCCTAGATGATTCTGATGAAAGCCGTCTATACACCACTCTTCAAACCACCAGTCTAGAGTGCAAGAGGTTTTACGAGAAAGCTTGGGACAACTTAGAACTGACAGGGCAACTGCCTGACCCAGTAGCAAAGAACTTAATCTCTGGGGAGTTGATTACTGTGCTACATAGCAAAAAGCTTGAGTCACCAACTGAGTTACACGATGATCAGATCACTGTTGGTTCTCTAGGGTTAGGGCTTTGCTTTATTCTGTAGCTGAGCCCAGATCCTGCCCCTGGCCCAGGTGTCATCATTACTCACGAGGGAGAGTCTATAAGAGTGTGGACAGTGCAGTGCAAACCACTGCGCTTAAGAGAGAACACTGCACATGGCCCGTGGCCTCCGCACGCACCACCAGGGAGGTAGTGTGGACCTCGGGAGCACTAGGATAGAGCCTGAGGAAGGCCCCACGCCCATCCTACCCAGGTTATGTAGGAGGACAACGTCGCAGCATAGTCACATGGGAGCATGTTCTTTAACTCAGGAATTTCAGGTGATTTCCCAGATTAGGATTATAACATCACCTTCACAAGCCTCTTATGTATGGGCTGCAGAGTCAGAGGCAGGTATGAGAGGCTCCAAGACCCTCCCCAGGCCATGCATTCCTGAGGCTTTGTGTCCGCCCTCCCCTTGAGAGGAGGCGCAGCTGCCTGCATAGTACCCATTGCCACCCCCACAGCCCGGCCTCTCCAAACTGGACCTCTGTGTTAAAAGAGCCCACCCAAACACCACGTCACAGCAAGTCCCCTGGACTGACCCCTTCCAGCAACTTGTCAGCCCTCAGCCCACCCTCTGCAGAACACCCGTGTGTCCCATTCCTCCATCCCACCCCCTGCGGTGGGCAAATCTGGTGGAATAATGAGAAAATCACTAGGTAGGAGCTGGAAATGCTGCCCAGGGCAAGCTGAGTCCCTGCCCACTACCCTCCCTCTCTGGGGGTTCGCATCCCCAAAGAGCCCCTCCCCTAACCTCTTCCTCCACCTCTTAGCACCACAGTCTCAAGGAGACCAGCCAGGTGGGGCATGAGACTCCTGAGGAGAGCCAGGCAGGGAGGCAGGACCCAGCGATGACCTCGTGCAGGCCTAGACGCAGCTGCCCCAGGGCTGGGGCCTGGGCCATGTCTTTGAGCCAGGGAATGCCTTTGGCATCTTGGCCAGATTCCCAGGTTTGTCCTCTAAGTGTCCCTGGGACTTCCCACCTCACCTCTAAGCCCCAGCTAGCCTCTTCTGGCCTTACCCCAGCAGCCCATCACCTTGAAATGCAGCCCCTTCATTTCCTGGGCTCTGTACCCACTACCCCACCCGGGGATTGATCAGCCTGCTCCAAGTCGTTGGTAAAGTGCCCAACCTCTTGAACATTTCCCAGGAATTACAGTTCCCACATCAAATCGACAGCCTGCTGGGGCCTGGTGGCAGGCAGGGAGGAAGTAAGTTCCTCCCTCAGTTAAGTTTCCTGGGGGAAGCCCAGCTGGGCACAGGCCTCCTTTGCTCTAATCCACTCAGTGCACAGGCACCCCAAATGGGTGTCTCACCCAGGCCCAGCCCCTGCCTGCCTTAGCTTCCTGACCCCCTGAGATGTGCTGTGCCACCTGCCCACCCATGTACCCTCCCCAACACATGCCCCATCCTGGCGGCTCCTTGGCCCTGTGCACTCCCGAGGCCCCAGGCTGAACATCCAGCCCCCTGGAAATCCGACCCAGCTTTCTTCTTTCCTACGCCAACCTGGCTGCAGTATTCCTATGAAGGGATGGAGATCAACAACCTGCCGGTGGAGTTGACGGTGGTGTGGAACGGGCACTTCAACATTGACAACCCAGCTCAGAATAAAGGTGTGGAAGGTGGGCCCCGGGGAAAAGGCGGGGTGGAAGGAAGGAGCAGTTCCTGTTCACAGGCCGGTGGCATCTGTCCCCCACCCTGGTGGCTGTCCCCCTCCCTCTGGCCCCAAGCTCAGCTCCATAGCCTCCGCCGCCCCCATCACTCTGCGCCCTCTGGGGTGTGGGCTCCACTTGGGCAGAGGGCTCCTGGGGGTGGAGCGGACAGAGCAGGACTCCACCTCCCAGTCAAGTTCCTCCAGTTCTGCTTGGTCTTCCGTGGGTCAGAATGGCTGGATGGGTAAGGCTGCGTTGTGTCCAGTTATCCCAGGGCTGCACTCCTTGTCCCCACTCCCTGGCACCCCTCCCCCGGCCCTCCACCTGACCCTCAGCACCTGTTACCCTGCTCCCACAGTTCACCTGTATAAGTGTGGAGCCATGCGCGAGAGCTGTGGGCTGTGCCTAAAGGCGGACCCAGACTTCGAGTGTGGCTGGTGCCAGGGCCAGGCTCAGTGCACCCTTCGCCAGCACTGCCCCATCCACGAGAGCCAGTGGCTGGAGCTGTCAGGCGCAAACAGCAAGTGCACAAACCCGCGCATCACAGAGGTAAGCCTGGCACACTGGGCCCACTCTGGGCTGCCAAACCACGCCCTACTGGGGGCTGGGCCCTGAAACCACTGGGGCTATGGTGTTGCTCCCCTATGATCCCCAGGTGCATCTGGATGCCCTGGCTGCCAGGTGCCTCTGTGTTTTCCTGCACAGCCTTCCAGAAGCTGCAGGCTTGATCCAGAGGCCCTTCCCTTATCAAGAGAGGTCAAAGGCAGAGAGGGCTTGACTGTGGTGGGGTGTCCGCGTGAGCTGTGTTAGAATGGACTACAAGTTCTCTAAGCCTCGGTGACAAGGCCATTAAGCTCCATCAGTAGCAGTGTCACCAAGCAGCTGTGCCATGGGAGGAGAAGGTCTAAACAGAGCGGCCTCAGGATTCCTCCAAAACAAGGTCTAAGGTGTAAAATGGCAGAGGTGGATTTGGAGCACATCAGAAAGACCCCGTGGGCACAGGGCATGCAGCAAAGACCAGTGAGGGGCCGGGCAGAGCTAAACTCAACCAGCTAATTGCTGGGGGCTCTGGGCCAATTTATCACTATGTGCTTCAGCCTCCTCACCTGTGAAATGGGCCTAAGTGTCCGTCTCGCAGGGGAATCACAAGGATTCTAAGAATATATGCAAAAGCAGCTCCATGCCCAACCGCTGGGGATCTCACCATCCCCCTCCTCCTCTGTTCATCATCAGCATTGTTAAAATCACTGCCATGCAAGTCTCAGCCATGGGAGTTGCTGCTCCCTGGGGTTTGTTTAGGTGGCCTACTGTCTTCACCTCCCCCTCCCCTGCCTAGGCAGAAAGACCTGCTAAGGCCCCTCCTCCCACCGTGGCTGGAGCTCCCTGCTCCCCTGGTAAAAGAAGGAAGAGGCGCACGCATCTCTACGCTGGGACTGTGTGTGACTCACACTGCACCTCCAGCACAGTGCTTAGCAGATAGCAGGGGCTCTGTGCCTCTTTGCCATAGTGGATGCTGATTATAATAATGAAACAAAGGGGGTTAGAGGACAGAAGAGGGAGAAGGAAGCTCAGCCTCTGTCTCTGCATTAGTGAGGAAAGACCGGGCATGAGGCTCTGTGCAAAGTTTGACAAACACACATGTATCCCGTCTAACAGGGGCATTTTGGCCAAACACCTGTGTGGTGCTTTATAGTGTACCAAGTAGCACTTATTCCACCGGTCTGCGTGATCTCCCTGCTGTACGGTCTCCGAGGGCTGCCTCACAGCGCCGCAAACTGAGTGGCTTCAACAACGAGCCCTGATTGTCCCTCAGTCCTGGTGGCTGGACCAGACCAAGGTGTCAGCGGGCAGGGCTGGTCCCCTGGGGGGTGAGGGAGGAGGGGCTGCTCCACGTGCCTCTCCTTGGCTGTGGAGGGTTGTCTTCTCTGTGCGTCTCTTCACATTGTCTTCTACATGTTTGTATCCAAATTTCCCCTTTTTGTAAGGAAATTAGTCATCCTGGATTAAGATCCATCCAAATGACCTCGTTTTAACTTGATTACCTCTGTAAAGACCCTTTCTCCAAAGATCACATTTAGAGGTACTAAGGGCTGGACTTCAGTGTGTGGGTTTGGGGAGGACACAATTCAACCCTTAATGCCTGCCAAGGTCAGGGTTAGTACAACCCTTTACCAGATAAAGAAGACCAATGCTCAGAGATGACTATTTATGCTACCCAAAGTGTAAATCACATGGGCCCTGAACCCCAGGTCTCTTGATTCCTAGATTAATGTCCTCATCCACTACAGCGGTAACACAGCCATACATTCCCCGTACCCCCACTCACAAACTGCCCGCACGCCAGGGATGTGAAAAGCAGGGAGGAGCGTGAGCTTTGTGAGTGAGCCGACTCCTCCAGTAAAGCGGCCCCATGGGGCGGCCTTCTGTGTGTGCCCCCTCTTTGGACCCCTGGCCCTCCACCTTCCTGGTTAGCCAGACACCGGGAGTTTCTCTTAGCCCCTACTTCCATCTCCTGCATGGGTAGGAATCTCAACAGTGATTCTCAAACTGAGGGAAGATATTTATGCATTTAATCTCAGAATTATCTGGAGAAGGGCAGGTGGACACCCCTCTATTCCCTAGACCTGGGCCGTGTCCCTCTCTCCCTCCTTTCCAGCCACCCCCAACCCTGGAGCCCTTAGTAAGAAACCATCCCCAGGAGCTGCCAAGCCTGACTGCTAACGTGAGTCTGCCACAAACAGTGGGACTTGCTTTCTTCTTGGCCTGAGACCAAGAAAATCACAGGGAGGAGATGGCAAATTAAACACATCTCCCTGCGACGGAGGCTATTTACTGGCTCCCTACTGGCATCGGCCCTCTGGGGTACCCAGGGAACCGAAGAACGGGCCAGAGATAAAGCTCCTTTCTCGGGAGGACAGGCCAGGGCTGGGATATCATGCAGATGCTGCTGCCAGGTACCAGCGGTGCTCTGGGGGCTGGATGGACAGGTGTTTGAGAAGGACATGGACTCCCTCTCCCTGTTCTCCCTATAGCTGCCCACCTCCCTCACACAGAAGTGGGTCCGTGTCTCCCAGGAATCTGTCTTTCCACTGCAGTGGGAACATACATGTGCAAACCCTCACACTCACGTGCACACTCACTCACAAACACACATGCGTAAAAAGCAGGAAGTAGCTTGACTTTTGTAGGTGAACATCAATCCCTGGCACAGCTGCCACTCGGGGGGCACCCCAGCCTAGTTTCTTTCACTTCTTTATCTCACCCTCCTGCCAGGAAGGAACCCTCAGGTGTGACCCATGCGAAGTGGGGAGAGTAGGAAATGTTGAGAGGTGGGCTCTCTGAGCTCCTCCAGTTGTGATCCCGTTGACACTGGCCAAGATCCAGGTGCTGATGTTCAGAGGCGCCACCAGTGGGAATCGTGCCCTGCTCTCACCTACAAATGCCAATAGAGGCTGGCACAGAATGTCTTCTACCACTAAGGTCATTACAGTGGGATGTCATAATTAGATCATGTGAAATGTTTGGAGCCCCTACCTCAAAGCTGGCTCTCAGTTGTTGATTCCTAATATTTCAATCATGGGTTTTTATACCAACAATCACCTCTTGGGAGGAAAAGCCAGTCATTTTGGCCAGTACATGAGGGTAAAGTCCAAATTAAATCCATCTCTGTTAGAAACTGAGCCAAACAATGAAGACAAAGGGGGTGGAACAAATGCTCTTCTAATGCCAGGAAGACACTTAGATAGTTGTAGTTTTCAGAACAGTTACAACTCAAGAAATAAAGATGGTGCCATCACTGAGAAGTCCACAAGGTGACATGAGACACCATCCCTGCTCTCTGAAGGATGAGGAATCAAACACAATAATTGTTACCATGAAAGTAGCACGAAGAAAGTGCCTTGAAACACAGAGAAGACAAGTAGTGATTTTACAGCATCTTACTATGTTGATGGACAGTGACTGTGAACGGGGATGTGGGGGCGGACTTGGTGAAGGGGGGAGCCTAGTAAACATAATGTCCTTCATGAAATTGTAGATTAATGATACCAAAATAAAATTTTAAAAATAAATAAATAAAAGAAAGTGCCTTGAAATTTCGGTGGAAAGAGAGAGAACATCCGGCTTTGAGGAAGTGACATTTGAGAAGGGTCTTAAAAGATGGGTGGATTGCCATGGCATGGAGGGCCGTGGGGTGATAGGTGGGTTGTTCATTCTCCTTAGACTGGAACCAGAGCTGCAGATGCTGGAAGGCATTAGTCCCGATTTTCTGTGCATCACCCGGTAGTAACGCAGATCATGTTCCGTCCCCTCATCTCTTCCTCTGTGAAATTGGAAGAGGTACAAGGGGCTTCAAATACTGCGGCTAAAACCACACACAAATGCAGACTGCTCTACCAGGACCTCCTGCAATGGACAGTCCCAGATCTGGGTGCCTTCCTAGACGTGGACCCAACTCAGGAAATCGGGTGGAGATGGGGAAGAGCCGGCAGGCTCTTTTTGCCCCATCAGCAAGTGGGTGGTGGTTCAGTCTTGGTGCCTATCAAATTACCGGGCTTCCTCCCTCCAGATAATTCCAGTGACAGGCCCCCGGGAAGGGGGCACCAAGGTCACCATCCGAGGGGAGAACCTGGGCCTGGAATTCCGGGACATCGCTTCCCATGTCAAGGTGGCTGGTGTGGAGTGCAGCCCTTTGGTGGACGGCTACATCCCTGCAGAACAGTAAGTGGAAGCCACCTGAAACACGGGCAGGCACGATAACTCACTCATGTGACTGATTTACCTTCCCTGGCCAACAGCAGACAGCCACCTGCAAACAGTCTTGGAACTTGTCTCCCAGAGAAGGAGAATGTCCCTAACCTTCTGGGGTGTTGGGATTCCCGCAACTCCCCAGCCCCTGAAATAGCTAGCTGCCATACTGGCGGAGGTATAAAAAAGTAAGGAAAATGGCTGGGGGGGGGAGAGAAAAGTGATTTCTACCTCCTTGGGGTGCTGGTGGTAGGTAGCAGTGAACAAAGCAAAATTAAAACCTGTAATAGTAGTGAATGTTCATTTCCTTAACCCTCAGCTGTCCTTGTCTCCCCACTCATGTCCTCCCCCAATTACTGAAGAAGCCGATCCTGTGCTTCTCTATATGGAAACTGCAAATGAAACTCCACCTTTGGAGTGCTTCGGATCGTTTTTCTCTTGCAAACTCTGCTGGTGCACTTAGTGGGTCATTTAGCAAGTAACCCTGACCTCTAACCCCCATGCTGGAGGAGGTTTGTAAGTCATGTATTTCCGTGCAAATAAGTAAACACAATTTTCCAGCCCAGTAAGCACAACCATGAAATGTTTACCAGCACAGTAGAATCTATATTGTGTTCCATCTTTGCTACCCTCCCTGCAGTAAAACCTTGCCACTTGTCCTGTGTGCATAAGCTATTGACTCTTTGCAAGGCCTCCCTTAGGTAGGTTGGTGCAGCTCACATGTCTGCTTGCTGGGTCTTGCCCCAATTTGGCAATAATACTGCCATTCTATATTTCTCCTGATTTCCATGCAGGTCTTCCTAAGGCATTCATAGCAGATCGGATGTTTGAAGGCTCTAGTCTTGATGGACAGTGACTGTGAACAGGGATGTGGGGGGGACTTGGTGAAGGGGGGAGCCTAGTAAACATAATGTCCTTCATGAAATTGTAGATTAATAATACCAAAATAAAATTGTAGGATTGGTAGGATTCACCTCCCTGGTTCATCATTGCTTATTTACTCAAAGATCTTTCTGCGGCTCCCTCAATTTTCCAAGAACTTATTAGAACAAAACCAAAGCAAGCTGCTACTGTGATCCGGGGTACTTTGAAATGCCCTACTGTAGACCTGAATAGCCAGCTATAAACTACATTATTATAAAGCCACATGATTGAAATATTGTCATGCTAGTTAGGTTAGTAGAATAAGATAGAACACCCAGGGAAAGAATCCTGATATATAAAAACTTAGTATATGATAAAGGGGACATTTCAAGTGAGCAAGGAAAGGCAAGGTCAGTAAGTGGTGCTGGTTAACTCCCTGGAAAAAATGCAAAATCAGATCTGTGTTCCACATTGTACACCAAAATAAATTCCATATGGATTAAGGAGTTACGTGGAAAAAAAATGAGACTAAAAAATTAGAATAAAATGCATGAGAGAATGGATGTGATTTCAAGAAAGAGAATATGGTCTGAGCATAACTGCCGAAGAAAAAATTACGAAGAAAAGTATTAGGGGATTGAGTGCATAAAATGTAACCCTTGTGGATCGAAGCCATTGTAAACAAAGTAAAAATATAAGTGATAAATTAGGAATATGGTTATGCCCTATTACAGTTAATAGATGCTTTTTCTTCACATATAAAGAGGCTCCATAAATAAAAGGCAAATATCCCCAAATGAACAAAAAGCGTGAAGGTACAATTCATAAGACAGACAAAGAAGCAAAAGTCATAGTTAAAAATGTTTTTAACATCAGTAGTAATCAATGAAATGCAAATTAAAACAACGGGGAACAATTTTAAAGTTCATGCCCAGTGCAAATGAAAGGCATGAGAAATAGCACACTCAAACGTTCACGTCAGGAGGGTAAACTGGGACAAGCTTTCTGGAAGGCAGTTTGGAAATGTAGGCCATAATACTTTAGACTGGCCATAAAACTTCTAGAACTTTCCCTAAATAACCAGAATGCACACATACTTAGATGCAAGAATGCTTATTTTGGCCTTATTTGTAATAGTGAAAATATTGAAGCTATTTGTATGTCTAAAAATAGGGAGTTAATCAATTCAATAGATTATTACATATGCACAGGATAGAAAACTACACAGCCATTAAATGTGATATTGCAGAAAAATCATAACTAAGCATACACTTAAGGTGTAAATAGGTTACCAAGCAGAATACCATGTTTCTAATTAATCTTGAAAAGTGAGACTGGAAATATTCAGTACTGGGTGGTACACTTGGGGGAGGAGAAGGAATGTGTATGGCAAGTGCTTTTATGTCCATGTTTTTTACACTGAACATGTATTAATTATGTTATCTGGACAGAAAGGCATATATGTTTGCTGGACACTCACTCAGGAGTCCTAAGAGAGGCACAGAACCTGGAAGCCGTAACGTAAAATACCAAGCATTTGAGCCACACAGATACTGTCAAACTAAAGTGTGGCAAAAGGCACTGTAAACAAAGTTGAAAGGTGACAAACAGGGAGAAGATAATTACAATATTCATTACAAACTAAAGTCAATGCTCCTAATTCAGAAGCTCCTACAAAAAAAAAAAAATACAATCTATTAGCAAAATAAAGAGATGGCTTCAAACCAGTCAAAGGAAAGGTCATGTAAGATTAAAGTACGCACATGCACACACACACACACACACACACACACACACACACACACACACACACAAATGAAAATATATGCAACCTCAACTCGTAATCAGGGAACTAAAAGTGAAAATGAGATCATTTTTTTCCTGTTATATTGGAAAAACTTTCCAAGAACTGATAATGTCTAGTGTTGGCAGAACAGTGAAGGGATCTCACTGAATTGCTGTTGATAGAAATGCAAATTGGTGCAACCCCTTAGACCATTATTTCACTCTACGAATCAAACGTTAAATGTACAAACAATGACCCAGCAAGTTCCCTGCTCAGAAATCTATTCTAATAAATATACAGTGCTTAAGGATATATACATAAGTGGGTTCACTTTGTAGAACCATTTGGAGTAGGAAAAAAAACAGGCTAAGGTCAATGTACATCAATAGAAGGATGGTACATAAATAATGATACAGTCATAGTATGAAATACTATGAAACTGTTAAAAAGGATAAAGTGGGGCTCTGCATGCAGTGACCTGAAGGAAAGTGCCTGCTGTATTGTTGAGTAAAAACAGAGAGGCTTAGAAGAGTGAGTAGTTATGTTTCATGTTTATTTTTAAAATCATGTATATGTTTCTTTATATATGGATGTTTGTATTTAATTGTATGTGTGTCTATATATAAATAGCATTTATTTGTGTGCATAATATCAAATATATATATACACAAGTGTGTGTCTGTGTGCAAATATATATATTTGGGCAAGTTGCCCAACTTCTGTGCCTCAGTTTCTGCATTTGTAAAATGGGGTTTTCATATATTTATATACATATTATAAATATATATATATTAGATTTATATACATTGCATAGGTCTAGGGAAAGGTCTGTGAGGATATATATACCAAACTTTCAAAGGAGATTAGGAGTGAAGAAAGGGGCACTTACTTTTTACTGTCACCTTCTATACTGTCTTGTTTGCAAAGGGTATGGACAAATTTTGTAATTAAAATTTTTAGAAAGGGAAAAATTTATGACTCTTGTCCACAACTCAGTATCTCCTGGCCCACCAGGCCCTCAGTGGGAGCTGAGAGCACAAGGCATGTCCCAGGTGCAGTCCATGCTTTGGGAGCCGTGGGGAGGATCTGGAAACCTTAGGTCTGCTCCAGTCCCTGTCTGACTTGCTGGGGTCCCTTGGGTAAGTCACTATATGCCTCTGGGTCCCGCTGGCAGTGTTCCCTAAACTGTTTGGCTGAAACATTCCCACACTCTAATTCACAACTGAGTGGACAATTCATGAATTAGGGACCGAGCATCTGTATCAGAACACAAAGACCCTCCCCTAGGCTCCCCACTTTACAGAGGTCCTCCCAGGAGACCCCTGTAGGTCGCAGTCCCTGTGCCCTGAAAACCAAGCAGGAGCCCCTGCCAGGAGTCAGGGTGTCCTTCACCTCTTCCCAGCTGCCGTCAGCTGAGATCCTACTGCAGAGAAGGGGTCTGGGTAGGCATGCAGCCCAGAGACTGAGGCTGGGAGTCTGTGATTCTGCCGTGACCCACAGCGTCTGCCCTCTCCTTCCTGCAGGATCGTGTGTGAGATGGGGGAGGCCAAGCCCAGTCAGCACGCGGGATTCGTGGAGATCTGCGTGGCCGTGTGCCGGCCCGAGTTCATGGCCCGGTCCTCGCAGCTCTATTACTTCATGGTGAGTCTGGTCCCCAGGGGCCTGGCCTGGTGGGTGCAGGACACACACCTCGGTACCATGACTGCTGGGCGTCTAGACCTCTGTGGGCAAGGGCAAGGAGACCTACCCTGTAGTGTAGGAAAACATAGTCGTGGAAGTCCGCAAGACTGGGACCCAAATCCACCTGCACTGGGCCTGGCCTGTGGCTCAGGGAGTTGCTTGGCTCTGGGCCCAGCATCCCCTTCTGGCTGACGGACAGGGCGGCACCGAAGGTGAGAGTGCCTGTCATGTGTCTGGACTGCTGGGCGCTGAGCCCTGGACCTTTTTGTGGTCTTCACTTCTTCATTTCTAAAATGAAGTGATAACAACAGCAACTGTGCCGTGGTGCTATGTTGAAAATTATGCAGAACAGATTTATCACTCTGGTTTCATTTCCTTTATGGTTTCTCCTGTTGGCACCATGGCTCCTGTGTCCTCACCCTGCATACTGGCACCAAGCAGTACCACCTCAGCTCCCTCACTGATCCCCGTCCCCCACTCACCATCATTCCAGCCCATGACCTCCTTAGCCCACCTTATCATCCACACTGCATCTGCACCCGCCCCACCTTCCTCTACCATTACCATCTCCCTCCGCACCCCATGGCCACTCCGCAGACCTCAGCCCCCCTCACACTCCTTCCAGCCTGAACCCTCCCTGGCCCTGCCAAGGTGGCCTGGCAAACTCCTAGCGAGGGGCTCTGCAGGGTGAGCCCTTCCAGCACCTCTCGGCCTTGTGATGACAGGGAAGCTGTGGCATGAGCACAGCCAGGCCGCACCCTGTACGTCATTGTCAGTATGGGTTTACCATCTGTTCCCTGTCAGGTCAGTGACAGCTGTGGTGGTTTAATTTCCCCCTGACACTGAGCTGCTTTTGGAAGCTGGGAGCCTGAAGTGATGGGTTTTATGCCTGGGTATCAAATGTTCTGTGATATGTCACCGGGTACCCATTTTCACTCTCCCTCTCTCTTTCCTTCCCTGTCCCCTCACCCTCTCTTCCCTCCTTCCTTCCTTCCTTCGTCTCTCCCTCCCTCCCTCTCCTGTTTTTCTTTAATCTATTCTCCTCATTCTTTCTCCCTTCAACTATTTATCACCTCTCGCAATACCTCGCTCTAGATTCTTTGATAAATACTTGCTTAATTTTATAACTTGATAATGCAGTTTGATGGCCCTGACTTGCGGGTATGACACTGATGAATCGGACCCAAGGCAGCCCCTCCCTCAGGAGGCCCACAGGCTGGAAGGGGAGGAAGATGGGCGGCCAGCATGCTGACGAATGTGGCCAGGCCGGACCTCAGGAGTGCCCCTCACAGGCCCCGTCCAGCCTGGACCACACTTTCCCTGCTGCCTCCCAATCCATTCTTTGAAAGCCACCTGAGCTTATAAGCACAGCGTCACCAAGCGCACAGGAGTTCAGATGGAACACACACATGTAGTGGATTTGATAGACATGTGGTTTTACCTATTACTCTAGGATTTGTCTCCATACCTTCTTCGGAAAGGGTGGGGAGAGAATTTCCAAGTTAAACCCAGTACACCTAAGGTAATTAGTGATAGATGTATGATATTTGTAGAGAGTGTATATATATTGTATATTACATATATTTATATGTACATAAACCATGTTCCCGCAGAGCTGAGATAATGAGAGGTAGAGAGAGATTGAGGCACGGAGAGACGACACTCACAAATGTTTGAGGGGTGTGGTGTGGCATGAAATAATAATCTGAAATCACCTGACAGCTGTGGTGGAAGGGAGGACGCCGCTGCGCCGCCAAAACAAACACTGGCTTTCCTCAGCCAGGCTGCCGCCGGGAGCAGCCTGTACCCTGTGGTCCCCTGGCAGGGACAGAGTAGATGGCACTAGGAAGGGCTGCTGCCGCATTAAGCCGATGTTTCCTTTGGGCCTTAACTGTCTGTGCCATGTCTACAGCCGGACCTCTCAGCTTTGTGACTAAACCAGAGGCTGCTGCCCCCTGGGTGTCCTGCCTTCACCTCTGTGACCCACCCAGGCTGGCAGCTCCCACAAACAGTGTGTTCCCCTCACTTGCCCTCTTCTGTCAGTGGCCTGTCACCCAAGCCCATAATCTTGGTGGGCTGTGGCTCTGCTTCCCTTAATTCCCGATGTCAGTCACATCACCTCACGTCCTGGAGTCTTACCTTTCCCATTCTCTTTGCCACTGCAGTGGTCTTCAGTCCCTGCCTTCGGTCCAAGCCCATTCTAATAAATCTGCCCTGTCATCGTGTTAGCACCCCCAAGAAGAGCCCAGGTACCCATTGCCTCTAGATGTTGCCCCAAGCCGTACGCTCCTCATTCTGCCAAGCCCTGCTCAGGAGCCACTCCTCAGCCTGCTCTGAATACGCAGCCATGGCACCCGGGTGGCCTGCTCCTGCTCCTGGGGATTCCGTGGCATCAGGGTTGCCTCTTGGTGGTCCTGCCTCTCTGTCAGACCAGTCAGTCTTTGGAGATGAAGCTTAGGTTGTTTATTTCTCTGCCAGCCCCCACAGGGCTTTGACCAGGCTAAACCCCCTTGCACATTGGAATCTCCTGAGGGGCTTTAAAGCAAATACTGTGGAGTCCCCTGAGCTAAACCACACTCTGCAGGTGGTGCACAAAGCCCACCCCCCCCCACGAGATTCTAACTGCAGCCTGGGCCGAGGACCACTGGCCTAGGAGTAACAGTGTTTACTGGGCAGCCACCATGGACCTGCAGATAGCTTAGTTATTCCAATGAGCCTATGCGGCAGACATTCAAGAGCCCCTTCCACTCTCAGGAAAGGTCAGTCTTGTCTTTATAATTGTTTCTACCCCTGAGCAGGATGTGGTTGGATGTAGGGTATTAAGGTGAGGCTTTATGGAAGAAGGATGGAAAGGCAGGATCTTTACAGAGTAGACTATGGTTTTCCACGTGATCTTGAGGAGGCTGTTCCTGGCATGAGGTATGGCGAGGAAGGGCACCAGAAGATGGGAACAGAGGGGAGGGAGAGATAAAGTTGACGGGTAGGAGGAGAGGTTGGTAAGGAAAGATGGGAATTGTTGCCACACGGCAAATGTGCATTAGCCTACTGGGTCCTGGGGACACAGAGATTTGTGCAGCTTTTCTATTTGAGGGACTCACTGAGGACGGTCCTAGCGCCGCATGTCCACTGGGGAAGACCGTCAGCGGGGGTAGGGGGGGGGATGGGTGCTGGGAACCCTAGCCTCCTCCCGGGACCCTATTTGCATTTAAGGGCCCAGTCATTAAGGCTCCCTCCCAAGGATTCCTGGTGGTGCAGGGTAGGAATGAGGAGGCCCCTTACGTCTCACAAGGGCGGTAAGGAGAGACCGAATTTCCCTTGCTCATGCTTCCCAGCATCTCAGAGCCCTCACTGCCTTCCCATTCCCAGACCCAGCTCACAGGTGACATTATTTGGACCCCACAAAGAAAGCCCTGGCTCCTCCGGAGTCCTGAGACAGCTGGGGAGCCCCTTCCCAGTGCCAGGTTTATGGGCAAGGTTTGGGTCTGTTTCCCTCTACACATCAGGGCAGACCCTGATATGTAGGCTTATTCACCCAAAACCCCAGCACTGAGCCCAAGGGCCCCTGGTCAGCACTCTCCATCTTGTTATAGCCCTTTCACTAGAGAGACATGGAGGGAAAGCTCTTCCCTTCCCTGTACCTCCATCTGGGGAGCCAAATGAAGGGGTGGCAAATAATGCAGAATTTGATTTCCATGCAAACCCACCGTGAAATATTTATGAAGCATGACTTGAATAATTAATAGCTTCTCACAATGTTAAAGCATGTCTCCATATCATCTTCTCCCACCCCTAGAATAATCCCCCCACCCAGCTGCTGGTAGGAATGCCACTGCACAGCCAACAGGGATCACTCGCTTCCACCCCTTCTTCTTCCTGACCCCAGACTGCTGGGGAGCCCCGGGTCTCCTTTCCTCTCCCCCAACCCCCAGATCCATCCCTCTATCCTAACTTCCCAGTTTGGACAAAAGCTCTAGGACATCCCGGGCCTCACAGCAGCCCCTGTGCATAGACAGCATACTCATTCATCATTTTCCCTGCCGTCTCTGGGGAGGTCAGCAAGACCCAGGTCTGAAAACCCTCCCTTTACAGAAAGTGGGGCAAAGGCACCATTTGTGGGAAGTGACTCCAGTTGTAGAACCAGAGAACGGTCAAGCACCTTTGAGAGAACCACTTTTTGACCAGTTCCTGATTTTTGCGATCAGGGAGGTTAAGTGACTTGTATGGAGTCACACAGGAGGATCTCAGCAGAGCTAAGAAAGGAAGGCTCTTTCCACAGCCTCACCCCCACCCATGTCTGGGTCTCCAGCAGAGCCCTTAGTAGAGCCAGAAAAGGCCGTTCTACAGGGATGCCAGGCTCCGGATCCGCAGAGACCAGGCAGGCCCAGAGCGCTCCTGCGCAGGGCCGTCTGCATGCCCTGAGCCGGGACCCAGGAGCGTGCATGCCAGGCCACCGGTGTGCCGGCGTCACTGGGGCTGCTCCCTCCCCCCGAGGGGTTACGGATCTGAGGCCAGTCTCTAAAGGAAGGTTGCCTGCCTGTTCCTGGGAGCTAAGAGGGTTCAACTTTTGGTGCAGAATTCTTTAAGGGGCAGGGAAGAGAGATACCTTCATTTAAATGCAGATACAGACTTCTCACCTGGGACCGAGGAAAGTTTTTTCCATTAAAATGCTAATGAAAAAACAGACTGCAACTCCAAATCCTCAACTCACAGGTCCCTGCTCCTCCACCCCCATCGGACTCTTCACTCAGTCCACTGACCCTTAGGGGTCCTCACATCCCACTGCTCTGCCTGCTGGGTGCTTTGGGCAGCTCTCTGGAGAGGGCTGTGGAAGGAGCAGATCACATTCCAGAGAGCCGCTGAGACTGGAGACTGAAGTGGTGGAGAACCAGTTCTCAGCCGTGCTGCTTATTAGCTGTGTGACCTTTGCAACTTCACTTAACATCTCTGAATCTCCTCTGTAAGATGGGTGATAATACTTGCCCTGTGGAATTGATTTGGTGATTAAATTATGTAAAGCCTGCCCAATAGAGGCTACTTTATTTATAGACTGTATAAAGCTTATTAAAAATATCAGTACATAGCAGCTATTGTTACTGTTACTAATGTAGAGGTGCTAACTCTCTGGGTCCAGAATGTTGCTTATGTACACAAGCCTAGTGAAACAGTGCCAGCCCTCTGGGATACCACGATTAGTAAGGATGACAGAGGGCAGGCGCTCGGGGCCTGTCCTGGTTGTGTCTCAGGCCAGATCCTTTCCTACGCAGACGCTGACTCTCTCAAATCTGAAGCCCAGCCGGGGGCCCATGTCTGGCGGCACCCAAGTGACCATCACGGGCACCAACCTGAACGCTGGCAGCAATGTGGTGGTGACGTTCGGGAAGCAGCCCTGCCTCTTCCACAGGTAACCCACCTCGAGGCAGCCTTCCAGGGCTCACAGCCCAGAGGGTGGGGCAGGGTAGCCCACCCAGCAGACCTCCTGGGCTAGCCTCTTAGAAGTGCTTGCTCCTCTCTGAGACAGTGGCCCTTCTCTTCGGGAGAGAACTTTCTGTGCACACCTGGCTGAGGCTATTTTGGCCCTATCATACTGTTTCCCACATTTAGCCTTGCTGTCCCCCTACTGCCCACTGTACAGAACCCTAGGGTTCACAGGACACAGGCTGGAATCTGGAGTCCCTTTCTCTTGGGTTAACTCCTTCCAGCTGCTGCAGAGCCAGTGGGCACTGCTGAGGGCTGGTAAGGGCAGCTGCCCCAGCTGGCCGAGGTACCTCCAAGAGCAGGTGACTCTCTCTCCCCTCTGGACAGTTCCCCCATCAGCTCTAGAAGGGCAGGCCTTCCATGCCAGGAGCCTGGTGGGTAGGAGGGAGGCAGGAGGTAAAGGCAGTGCAGGCTTGAAGAGTTGTGGTAGGGGATAGTCCCTCAGCAGGCATGAGGCTCTGCAGGAGGTTTCAGGGGCAGAGCTATGCTGAGCGTCCTGACAGATCTAAAGTCAGGCCAGGCCAGGCCTTGGGTTAACAGTGTTAAAAAGAAATTGTTCTGGCACTTCTTAAAATGGTAGGGAAGAGTTCCCTCGGGACTATCGCAGTAGGGGTCAAGACTACAGCAGTGGGGAAAGAGAGCAGGCTTGACTCTGGCTACGCAAGGACAGCTGGGAATGTATAGCCAATGGCAAGGGGATGGAAAATTCCTAAGAGAAAACATTAAGGATAGGAAGATTCTTGCTCAACCACCTGAATGGGATTCTTGCTAAAAATGGGGCTAGACAGGCTGGAGACAGGGCCCAAGGCAACCTAATTGAAATGAGGGCTCAGAGGAAGCTGTCTACAGTTTGGTCAAGGACTGACTCTGAGCAGTCCCCAGGCCTTTGTGTCTGAGGCAGCGCTTACCCACTGCCTCTGAGGAGCCTGAGGGGCAGGGAGGGCCCTGACCCTAGACCACTGCCCCTCCTCCACACCCAGGAACTCAGCTCCATATCTTCCCCCTGCAGGCGCTCTCCATCCCACATCGTCTGCAACACCACCTCCTCAGACGACATGCTGGAAATGAAAGTCACTGTTCAGGTGGACAGAGCCAAGATCCACCAGGACCTATTCTTCCAGTACATGGAGGACCCCACCATCGTGAGGATTGAGCCAGAGTGGAGCATCGTCAGGTAGGAGCTGCCCTGACCTCTTCTGCTTCTCACGAGTCTCAGAGAGTTCTGGGGCCCAGTCCTGCTTTGGTGACTGACGAACTCTGGTAGGTTCAGAGCACCACCCCCAAAACAGACCTTCCGGTCAGGGCTCCCTCCTTCCACCTCGAGCACCTCTGGCTGGGGCGGGGCCCTGGAGGCCATGCTCTGACCAGCAAGACACAGCCCCTACTTGGAGGATTGCTGGATGCACTTGGAGGCCTGGTGCCATCTCTCAGTGACTGTTGGGGGTAATCAGTCCTACTCCCCTACACCTCACTTTTGGCAAATACAGGCAATAATTCCAGTCCTGCTAAGGGATGTATGAGAAGAGTAAGATCAGCACCAACTTCTCTTTCCTTGCCTGCTCTGGGAGGAGAGCATGTTCTGACCACCAGGGTGCGGCTCAGACGTCCTTCCTCAGTGATTCTCTAGCTCTTTTTCTTAGCACCCATGACCCCTCGTTGCCTGCTTGCTTTGTCCTTTTCTCTATGCAGACTCCTCAGGGGCAGCATTTGGGTCTTGTTCCCTGCTCTTTCCCCAGTGCCCAACATGGGTATGGAGAACACGTGTCCTGGGAAGGGCTGGGTTTGATGTTCTCACAGGAGGACCCCGCAGTGCTGCTTCTCAGCCATTCAAATGCTGACTTGGGCCAGCTGCATGCATTCCCCGAGCCCCCACTCTGGGGAGATTCACCTGTGGCTTCAGAGACTCCAGGATACTTAGGGACCCTGGCAGCCCCACCTGGTGGAGCTGTTGGGTAGTGCAGGAGTAGGGGCCTCTCACCTCAGGAAAGGACCTGCAGAGTCGGCTTTTCCAGGCCCTGGAGCATACCTCCTAATGAGAAGGTGCTGCGGAGGGCATCCTGACAGCAAGGCCCTGGTGGTAGCTGGGAAACTGCTGCAGCAGAGGCCATGGGGGAATGCAACAGGGCTTGAGGGCAGAAGAAGTGGACTCAGCCTAGCTCCACTGCTTACCAGCCAAGTGACTTTAAAGGTTACTTAACCTCCCCGGGTCCGTGATTTCTCATCTCAACTCCAGGACCGCTGAGAGGATCAAGTGGGACACACATGCACAGTGCGCTGTCTGGCTTATCCCTCTTCCTCTGCACCCTGCTCCCCCCTACACACACGCACACACCAGTCCTCAGCCCTCCCCACTGTCTGCTTCAGCTCCCAGGGCATCTGGGGTCAGGAGAGGGGGTAGAGCATAAAGATGGGGTCTCTGCAGGCTGAGGCAGGCACAGGGGCTGAGTCCAGTCCAGATGACAATCCTTTAAACCAGGACTCAGTAAACTAACCCAGCAGCCAAATCTGGCCATCAGCCTGCTTTTGTAAATAAAGTTTTATTGGAACATAGCCACAGCCATGCTGATTTGTATATGTTTTATCTGTAAGGGCTTTCTCACCACAACAGCAGAGATGAGTAATTGCAACAGCCCATATGGCCTAGGAAGCCTAAAATATTTACTCTCTGGCCCTTTACAGAAATCATTTGCCACCCCCGGCCTTTCCCCATAATGAAAGACAGCTTTGCTTCAAATAGTCTTCAGCAGTTACTCTCTAAAGCCCAGATCTTAAAAGCTTTAGTCATGATCTTAAAGCCGATGAGTATAAGGCACAGAGAGGGGAAATAGGCTGCAAAAGGCTCTTGCACGTTTGCCCCCAGGGCCTGGTGAGTCCTGTAAGTCAGCATAACCCCCTTAATTCAGTTCTTTCTCATGCCATTGTCACAAAAATAGAGGTATTGTCCTTCCTGGCACTCAGTAGCCAACTCTGAGTCATTCTCACATCAAAAGGGAGGTTGGAGGCACGTTCTGGGTCTGCTAGTGGCTCCAGCATTTTTGCTACAGTTTCAAAGTCTGTGATGGGGTCACCTCTGCAGAAAAGTGTGGCTTTACTAGGGAACTGTGATGGGGACAGTTGACAAGTGGGTGTTGAATTGATGATTGAGATGAGATAGCTGGATAGCAGAAGCTCCTTCTGGACCCCTGCCAAAGGGCAAACGCACCTCTCTGGGTTTCACAGCAATGAGGGAAATAACTGGGAGCACAAAGATGGGTAGAAATGAACCTGGTATCAAGGATTCTTTACCCTCCAGGCTTATAACTGCTCCCTTTAGGTACCAGGATTCTTCTCAAAGATACTCCCTTGATTGTGGATAAAGTGATTCATCACGTTCTTTTGAGTAGCTCACAAGGAGGAGACCCCCACCCCATGTCAGCTCTTAGGCCACTTGGAAGTAGGACAGTGGCATCTGGGTTTTTTTTTGAAAAGCTACACGAAGATGGATCTCCTGATCCCTCCTCATCAGCAGTCCTCTGGCTGAGACCCCAGGCTGCAGGAGACTTGAGTCCCAAAACATACCATGTTTGCATTCTTGGAGAAAGAATTTCCCGCATCTTTCCCACATCTCAGGTGACTGAAGCCTGTAGGGTGGGCATCTGTAGTAGGATTGCCCATGGGAGGAGACTGTGCTCAGACCCTAGAGGAACTGGTGGGGGGCAGTCTGGAGTGAGGCTTCCATTAGGCCAAGGCCAGTGTGCAAAACACTCCCTGATACTGGTGAGGGCTGGAGGGACAGCCAAGGCTGCAGAGAAGCAGCTGGCTGGGGTTAGGAGGCTCTGGGAAGGGCTGTGCTGCATGCCCACCTCCATGGGGTGTCCACCCTCCAGATGAGCTCAGTGCAGGACAGCCACGGACATCTGGGCATCACTGTCTTCTCCTTAGCTGCTGAGAGCTCATTCTTATTATTATTCAGTCAGCTTGTCATCGTAGTCCATGAACATTATCATGCCCCCTGGTTATCACTGTCTTTAATATCAGAGCTCAGCCTGATTGATTATCATCATCGTTGTCGCTAAGTGCCATTGCTATTTCTATCCCTGTGTTTACACGCCTCCTTCTTTCTTCCCGGTCAGTGGAAACACACCCATTGCCGTATGGGGGACTCATCTGGACCTCATACAGAACCCCCAGATCCGTGCCAAGCATGGAGGGAAAGAGCACATCAATGTGAGTCCAGGGCTGGCTGGGGTCCTGGGGCTCCCTGCTCTGCACATCACCTTTCTAAAGGCCATGGGGCTCCCCAAGTACCCTGGCAGGTCCTCCTCAGACACTGATGAACCATTACATGTGACCGCAGAGTATGGGGCTGGTGGGAAGAGGAACTACAGAATAGAGGAGCAGTCACTTCTGGGATTTCTGGGGTTTCATACCTTTATTTCTCCATCCTTCCACCCCCACCGCAGTGCTGCTCCCCAACTTAGAGATACCCAGTCACTGCTGTGCCTGCTGTGGGCAAAGCAGAGCTACAGGAACAAGGAACGAGGTGCAGCTTGTTTCTCGAATGCGCAGATTGTGTGGTCCTGCCTGCAGAGGAGCTGTGACCCACCTACAACTGTCCCGTGTCTAAATCCTGCATATGGCAGTGCTGGGGGAGACCCAAGGGTGTGTGGGGGCTGGTGTGCAAGACACGCTGCAGAGTCTTCCCTCTCTCGGTCCTCTGCAGCTCTGCGAGGTTCTCAACGCTACTGAGATGACCTGCCAGGCTCCAGCCCTTGCTCTGGGGCCCGACCACCAGTCCGACCTGACCGAGAGGCCTGAGGAGTTTGGCTTCATTCTGGACAATGTACAGTCCCTGCTCATTCTCAACAAGACCAACTTCACCTACTATCCCAACCCTGTGTTTGAGGCCTTTGGTCCCTCAGGAATCCTGGAGCTCAAGCCCGGCACACCTATCATCCTAAAGGTAGAGCAAGGCTGGTGGACAGGAGGTGGGGAAAAAGGGGGCTGCTGCCTGGAAAGACAAGTCTTTTCAAGTCACAGAAGATGCCAGAAGTCATAGACTTCTGCCAGATTTGTGTCTAGAGCCCCTCACAGAGGTGCTATAGTCCAGAGTATGGTCAACGTTCTCTCAGAGTTTGCATTAAGAGGCAAACTCCTTACAGGTGTGGAGACCTGAGCAGAGCCATCTGACTCCCAAGCTATGTTTGTCTGCTGAGTCCAGGACCTGGGAGGTCAAAGGCCTCCTCCTGTGTAACCCTTCCCAAACCACAGCGAGGGGTTTCTTTGGAACATGGATAGCAAATTAATTTTCGCTCATGACAATTTGAATCTGGTAGTGACTGACTACAGCTGTGTGTTGAGAAGGATTCTGAGGCTGCAGTTGGGATAAGCTGAGAAGAATGCCTCGCTTATTGATTTTCTGTTGTGGGAGGGGGAATGGGAGTGTATGTACCACACATTTTGGGGACTGATTACAGAAGGTGGCCTCTGTACCAGCCCCAACAGGATGGGGTCTCCAGGTGGGAGGACACGGCAGCCAGCCAGTAGCTGTGGTCCTGACTCTGGGTGGGAATGGGGGCTTTCCTGTCATCCAGGGCAAGAACCTGATCCCACCCGTGGCTGGGGGCAACGTGAAGTTGAACTACACTGTGCTGGTAGGGGAGAAGCCGTGCACCGTGACAGTGTCAGATGTGCAGCTGCTCTGCGAGTCCCCCAACCTCATCGGCAGGCACAAAGTGATGGTGAGGCTGAGGATGGTGGGACTCCATCCTGGTTGGAGCTAGAGTGTCAGCAGACCTGCTCCCCCCTGGTCTGCTTTCCAGGAGGGGATTTCAACCTGCTTTGAATTTCCTCCTAGGTACCCCATACCGTGGTTCCTTCTCCCAACCCCACTTTGACTTCTTTCTTCTGGATCGTCACTCTTTCCTTACTGACTGGTGCTATAATAAGGGCAATACAAAACAGCATTAAATGATGTGCAGAATCACCTATGATAGGCAAGGGAACCTTCTAGGAGTGGACCATTGTCTGCCTGGGGGTGGTCCAAGGTGTCATGTTCTGTGCCTCGGTCACCCATCCATGCAATGGGATGAATCTTCGGGGAGGCAGTCTTTGATGTCCAGACAGATGTTTTTGGATCCCAGTTGTGTGCTGTTTCCTTATGAAGATGACAGTTAGCTCCTAAATAAGAGAAGGTATGGGTTTTCCGTTTGTGAGGGGGGCCCCTTGTGAGCCATCCAGACCCCCTCCCTCAGCCCCTGTGGGCCCTCACATCTGATTTCACAGTCAGTGATGACTCCTCCCTGCAGCCACTTCCCTCATCCCGTGCTGGTGACTTGGGCTGCTCCCTAGATGCTGTGTCCCCACCCCCAGCTCCCTCTCACCCGGTGTGCCCCCAGGCCCGAGTCGGTGGCATGGAGTACTCCCCGGGGATGGTCTACATCGCCCCAGACAGCCCGCTCAGCCTGCCTGCCATCGTCAGCATCGCCGTGGCGGGTGGCCTCCTCCTCATCTTCATCGTGGCTGTTCTCATTGCCTACAAACGCAAGTCCCGAGAGAGTGACCTCACGCTGAAGCGGCTGCAGATGCAGATGGACAACCTGGAGTCCCGAGTGGCCTTGGAGTGCAAAGAAGGTACTGAGCGGCCAGGGCACCAAGGCCCCACGCCAGAGACTGCCTGTGTGCGTGCGTGTGCATGTGTGAGCAAGTGTGTACACATGCACGTGGGTGTGAACCTCACACACAAGTGGACTGGGCAACAGTGAGCAGTCCTGGGGGCGGGTGTCTGGCCTCCAACTGCAGAAGCTCTAACTCCGGTCTGGGAGTCTGTGCCCGGACCAGACCCATCCCTGGCAGGCCCTTCCCCGGCAAATAAGCTAAGGACTCCCCTCCATCCGCCTCACAGAGGGCACTCTCCCCAAGTCAGCCTGGGGTCATTTCAAACCCAGTCTCAAGCCCGAGTCCTGGCCAGGTGGGTTTTACACTCTCCCCTCAGGGAGACCTTGATGGCCTGATGCGACGCTGCCAAGCGATCTTCAGCCTCTTCCTTTAGAAGGAAGGGAAGGCTGCGCAGCTGATCTGAGATTTAGAAGGAAGATTGTTTCCCCGCCTTTAGTTTTAAAAATTACAACACTACCATGAAGTGAAGTCAGCTGCACTAAATCCAAGAAGGAAACTCAGGAGTCATCTGTCGTCTCCTCCAGGATATCATTTCGTGAGTCTCCCTGGGAGGGTCCGAGTGGGCACTTCACTGTAGATCCACGCGAGGGGTAAATCCCGCCTGCACCCCGGGAACCACGGCTCTCTGACGGGGCAGTGGGCCCGTTCCACCCTCTCCGCATCCTTCACTTGTCAACACGGCGTCGGCCTTGTGGGACTGTTAATTACTGCCTTTTATTAGATTTACGCTGCTTAATTTTTTTCTCAGCAATGCACTCTTCCCTCTAATTAGGTGTAGTGATTAGAATCTCTTTTATGTGTGGCAGGCACCCAGGCTTTGCATGTTGGAGGCGCAAAAGCTACAAACCAATAAAAAGGCAGCCTCCCCCTCTCCTCCCACTGGCTGAGCAACCGAGGTGGGCAGCCGGGGAGAATGGGAAGCCGGGATCCTCTCAGAACATTCCAGAGGAGGAGGAATTAGCTGTCAGATTGGGAGTCCAGAAGCAGCATGTCAGTGGGGGCACCAGGAGAGGGTCTTGCTCCTGGCTCAGTAGAGAGCCATCCCGCATGGGTGGAACAGGAGAGACTTAAAACAAAGTGCATGTAGATTAGCCAAGAAAGTTTTTTCCAGGGGTCCCCAGATCTGCCTCTTGAACATTTAAAGGGCAGCTCAGGTCCAGGGAAGGTGACTTCCTGAAGACCTGATGTGAGTCACGGTGTCCTCTACACATAAACTCAGAAGAGGCCCCACCTGGGCTCTTCACAGACCTGACCTTTTGGAATATAAACACTCCCACAAATGCTCACTGCCATACTCACACCCTCAGATGATCACTCACGCACGCACATTCGTCTGTCCGCTAAAGCACGTACACACCCACACACAGTCCCACACATTCCTGCACACACACACGTGCTCCTCACTTGGGACATGTGGAGTGTTCATTGGGGCTCTTGGTGGCAGTACATGCCCAAAAAGGCTGACTGACACCCCGCTCACACACATGCATGCACATACACGTTTAATGTAAGTTCTACTTTGGGTGCATTAGGATTGTTTGCCTTTGGGGTCACTTTCCTTGACAAGGACCCCCTCTGTCAGTGTGACAGGGGTGCAGAAAGAGAGCAGCACAGGAGGGGTCTGCAGCAGCCCCTCCAGGGGCTTGGTGACAGCCCTGTTGTTCTATCAAATAAGCAGCCCTGGTGTCCTAGGGCCCAAAAGTCAGCACTGCACGGTGCTGCCGGGCCTCCGTCAACAGTGCCTGGGGCTGCCAGGCTGTGTTCGTGTGGTGTGAGCAGCGGAGCCCACTAGAGCCACACTGGGCTTGTGAGCCTTTCTGAGCCCACAAAGAATTTTTCTCGATTCTTGTGTTTGTATGAATAGAAAGAAGTAGTATTTAATCAATGTCCACTGGCTCTTCTTTGCCAGCACGTATTCGTCCATCCAGCTTGTGTGTATGCAAGGAAAATGGTGGAGCAGGGATGGACTCGGTGTATCACCTCTGACTACCTGCCAGGGTGGCCCAGGAGGAGCGCTGTGCCCAGGACAGAGAGTGGTCACAGCTTTGGCCCAGTGTAACAACTGGTGGCTGTGTGCTGGACTTTCTTGAGGGTCACGAGGAGGGGGTCTTGTGGCTCTGGGACCATCTGGAGGCCTGAGCTGCCTCCACAGACAGCAGTGCTCACATGCACATCGTAATTCACCATGGCATGGCATCACTTTGAGGAGGAGGACAAAGATGCACCCTGCATATTTATCCAGAAGGAATATATTCATGTGGCAGAACTTTCTTCTGGCCCCATTTGATAGTTTGAAGCCTCAGGGAGCTGCATGGCCCAGAACTGGGACTTCAGAAGAAATTGCTCTTAACTCTTATAAGGAAACTCACCAAAAGACAAGAATAGAGAATAGACTCTCCATCACTGGAACCTCTACCCCCCTCCTTCATCCCTTGACATGCCTGCTCTCTCCCAGTCTATTTTGCAAACCAAACCCTTCATCTTCAGCTGGGGAGGCCCTCTCAGCCTCACAGCTGCATGGATCTATGACAGGGCCCCTCATCCATGGTCTGGAAGGAATTTGACCACAGACAAGCTTCCTGGCACTTCATCTTTCTCCCATTCCTGTATCATTTACCCCAGCTACTCAAAACATCCCCCCTTCTTATTCTTGCACATCTGAGGTCACTGCTCATATCTCCTAGGGGCCTGGGTGAGGGTTCCACGTGTTCTGAGGGTAACTCTTGGGCCCACCCTGCCCAGCAGTCTCATAGGCTCCTCTTTGTGCCAGCTTTTGCTGAACTGCAGACAGACATACATGAGTTGACCAGTGACCTGGATGGAGCTGGGATTCCCTTCCTGGACTACAGGACCTACACCATGCGGGTGCTGTTCCCGGGAATTGAAGACCACCCTGTCCTCCGGGACCTCGAGGTGAGAGGTAGTATTCATGGCCATGCCCTTCGTGGTGTTAGTGCAGGGAAAGATATTGGTGACCTTCTAGGGCAGCTGCCTCATTTGGAAGTGAAAAAGCTGAGGCCAGGGAGAGAGTACACTTGCCCAACGTTCCCCTGCTTGCTGGCACTAGGCGGCCCCTCTGGAGGAAATGGAGCCAAGCTGGGGAACCTCAGAGCAGGGATGGGAGTAGAGCTTTGGGTCCTATGGGGTCAAGGGTCCCTCAAGAATGGGATGGAAGCTGAAGAGCCTCTCCCCAACACACTGTATGTAAACACAGAGACATGGAGTCTGGCAAACAAATGTGGGGAGTTCATGAACCCTTGTTGAAAAAAACCACTATGTAAGGAATTTCATCACTTAGTTGGTGCTCAATAAATATATATGGAAAAGATAAGTGCTGTGCTGGGAAGGGAGGTGGAGATGGGAATGTTAAGATCATAACTGTCTTTTGTACCAGCAGGGACTTCATCTTCTGAACATTTTATTCCACTTACTGTCTAGCATAGTATCTGGCTTATGCATATATTCATAATACGCTTTGTTCTGAAAGGGATTTGGAATGACTTATAACAAACAATTCCAGAAGAAAGGGAAACACATAAATGAGGAAACCAAGCCAAATAATAATCATAAGGACTAATCACTATTAGTTGATTTACTGACTAATATCCTGGTCCAATTTTAAGTAGTTTCTGTCTCTATATTAATTTAACCTCCCAAGGGCCCTCTGAAGTAGGTGAATTCATTTTACAGGTGACCAAACCAAGGGCACAGAGAGTTCTGGTGTCACACAGCTGGGAGGGCACAGGGCCACCATTTGAGTCCAGTGATTAGACTTCAGAGCCTGTGGCCCCAGCAACAAGCCTGTGCACTTGGCTTCTGAGGTGCTACATCAGTAACTGTCCCATAGCTCTGGATACTGGTTAGGATGGATGAAAATCTCCAGTCAAAGCAACAATGGAAAATAAGATTAATTCTAGGATTTATATTGTCCATAAAATAAAAACAGACCCATTGCTCAGGAGTCTGCAGGATTTTGCAGCTACTGAGCCAGCTACATCAGTAACTGTCCCATAGCTCTGGATACTGGTTAGGATGGATGAAAATCTCCAGTCAAAGCAACAATGGAAAATAAGATTAATTCTAGGATTTATATTGTCCATAAAATAAAAACAGACCCATTGCTCAGGAGTCTGCAGGATTTTGCAGCTACTGAGCCCTGTGGGATGTCTATGTGGCTCTCCAAGGAGAGGTAGAGGCTATGAACCTCTGCAGTGGACACAGCAAGTCCCCTGGGACTTTGGGGCTCACACACAGGTCTACTTGGTTGTTGAATAAAGTATGTGTGTGTTTCTGTAGAGGAAGCATGGTCTCTGCTGTCTGCTGGAGGCACCCCGCAGCTCCTCAGTGGACAGATAGCAAGAGGCACTTTCAGAGCCGTGGGTAGAGAGCTCAGATCCTCATCACCAATGTGCTTTTCCTCCCTGTCACACATCTATTTGTGTGTATGCATATGAGCATCTCACATGGGCCAGACACACAAATGAAAACACTCTCTATATTATGACACCCTCTCTACCATTTCCTTGGTCTCTCTCTCCTTGCCTTTGCCCTCCCTCATTCCCCCTAATTTTTCTCTTTCTTAATCTTTTCTGCCTCATTTTTATTTCCTTCAAAATACCTGGGTGCCCAGTCCACTAAAGTATACAAGTTAACGGCCACAGTAGACATCAGCGTGATGGAAGGAGAAGGCTGTGTGTACTTGTGGGCGGATGTGTGCACTGCTGTTCCTCACTTATCTTTGTAATTTTGGCTCCCCACAAAGTGCTGAGCACATAGTAGGCATGCAGGAAATGCTGACTGATTTGAATAAATGTATGTCTGTGTGTCTGCATGAATTAGGGTGGGCACGGCACTCCTAGGAAGGGGAACTCATGTTTGTGCATCCCCATGCCCCTTTGTAGGCAAGATGGAGAGTAATCAAAATGAGAAATTGACTAGGATGAGCATAGAAAGATATTCTCCCTCTTTCACAGGCTCAAAATTCCAAGTAGATTTCCTTCAAACACTTAACGTTTAAATCAAAAGTTTGATTTCTGAGACCATTTCAAAGCTGGCATACCTACAGGGCAGCCTGAATATTTGGGAGCAGCCTAGGGGCCAGCACCTCCCGCACGAGGTATTCTCTTGATGGACACACACACACTCCACACCTTCTGACCGTCCCTATGGCCACATTATAAATCATGCTAGCCCCCCTTGTGTGGTCCTGCTCCTCATTTAATCCCGTATCTTAAGGCTTTTCCATATGCACTTGCATCTCCATAGATTCTCAGACACTGAGGCCTGGTTTGGCACTGCATTAGCACACACCCAGGGCAGTGCACTCCCAAGGGCTGCCCAGAACGGTGGCAGGAGACTGCAGAGCTCATTCTCTCACAGGATCTCCTGGGTGGTTGGTTGTGCATGTTGAACATTGCCCTGCTCCAGAAGACACCATTCATATGTGGCATCTCTGGAGTCGTTCAGTACACTGCCTGCTTCACTGTCTACAGTAGCCTTGTTCACCAGGACCACAGTACAAATGATTCCCTTTCATATTCCTTGAGGGCTGTACCAACCCCCTTGCTGGAAGTTGTTGGGATCCCTACCCTGCTGCCCCTCCCGAGGGCTTCCCTGTAGGGTCAGTTACCTGAGAGAAGCAAGACACACAATTGCCACCCAACCCCTAGGGTCATTCCTCAGAAGGTGCACGGCCCCAGGTGCCTGCCTGGCAAGCCAGGCTCAACAAACAAAAACCTGAGCACCCTCACACCCACCTCAGCACCTGCATGAAGCAGCTCCCTGCTTCACTGTGTGCAGCCTGGCCCTGCCTGCCATGCTCCCTGGCATCTGGGGTACCCCTAAACAGAGGCTGCCGGGGCTACAGAATGAACTGCAGCACCTTCCTCTCTCTGCCCAGAGGCTCTGAGAGCCCTTGTTCAATACCCAGTGTCCCAGTCTCAGAGACCCAGAGTCCCTTCACTTCACAGTGACACTGTTCACCCCACGAGCTGGATACACTCGAGGGTGCACCCAGAGCTGCAGCACCAGGAGCCGTTCGCTTCCTGCCCATCCCTCTGTCACTGGATGTCAGATGAACTCACCCTTGGAGGGCTGTGGGAGAGAAGGTGGATTCTGATGATCACTTACGAGCTTGTTTTACTCCCAAGATGCCCTCTGGGTGGGCACCCCACGTGGGCACCCCACCCCTGCCCCCATTACAAACCACCTCATGTCATACCATGGCCTGTTCCTCATCTGGGACCTTAAAATTTCCCATCAAACCTGAGCCTTCTCTCCTTCCCTGCCTTTGTCACAAGTGGAGACTTGCTAATCCCACACTTCTGCTCACGAAGGAGTTAACAGCCAGCTTCACTAATTTCCCTGAGTTGGAGCCCTGGAGATGGTTGCTTGTCAGGCGTGGACTCTGAAGGTCACACAGGTTTTTTTTAACTGTGGGAACATGTACAAAACGTAAAACTTGCCATTTCAACCATTGTTAAGTGTACATTACAGTGGCATTAAGTATATCCACATTATTGGGCAGCCATCACCACCATCTTTATCCAGAACTTTTCCATCTTCCCCAACTGAAAATCTGTACCCATTAAACACTAACTCCCCGCTTCCTCTTCCCCCAGCCCCCCGGTAACCACTGTTCTGCTTTCTGTCTCTGTGAATCTGACTACCCTTGGCACTTCTAATAAGCAGAATTGTATAGTATTTGTTCTTTTGTGACTGTTTTATTTCACTTAGCAAAATGTTTTCAAGGTTCACCCTATTGTCACATGTGACAGAATTTCTATCCTTTTAAGGCTGAATAATATTCCATTGTATGTATGAACTACATTCTGTTTATCCATTCATCTGTCAATGGACACTTGGGTTGCTTCCACCTTTTGGCTATTGTGAATAATGTTACTATGAACATGGGTGTGCAAATATCTGTTCAAGCTTCTGCTTCCAGTTATATACCCCAAACATATGGCTTTTCATTTCCATAAAACTCACTAATTAATTGCTTATAGACAGAAATCAACTTCCACTGTCCCACATTAGCCTGGGACTATGTGAGATCCAGCCTCCAGTGCAAGACCCGGGGATCTTATTTTTTCCCAGCCCCCTCCTTGCCACTGGAATAGTTATCCCTGTTGGTTTTCTGAGTATTGAAACTTTCCCTGGAAAGCCATTGACTGACTTGAAGCAATGTTACCTGACCTTCTCACCTTCTGGAATGCCTGCCTACTTGATGGGCATGAGCCATAGATGCACGTGAAGGAGGTGTCTGAGAGAGTAAGCCATGAGGCCCTCTCTTTTGTGACTGTATGTGTGCAGTCCAGGTGTTTGGGTAAGGGGCTGCCTAGGCACTGGGCACACACCAATCCTTTAAAGACAGAACAAATAGTACCCACACACCCCATTTTCAATCTATCATTGCCTCCTAAACTCTAACCTATTGGGTTGCAATTAAAATTTAGTATCCAGTTTTATACTCACAGACTTTAGCTAAATTATTGAACCATCTGGCAAATAAAGAAAGGCTTGTTTCAGAGTGGCATTTGCTTAGGGGGTGGGGGCTGGCAAGTTACAATGGGTAATTGTTCTGGATACTCTTTCACCAAGATACTTCACTTCCATCTCCCCCTTCATACAATGGGGGTGGGGAGAATGCCTACCGTCTGCACCCCAAGACACTGTGCCAGCACATTAGCTATCTCAGAAGCTCTTGGGTGAAACAGCCAATGGAGTAGGAGAGGGAGGGAATAAAACTGCTGCCACTTAAGCGTGCACTGTGTGTGCAAGCACTTTACATACATTATCTTATTTAATGTTCATAAAACATTATGACATAGGCACTCATAATCTCATTTTATGGATGAGGCAGTAGAGCCCAGAGGTAACCACCCTTCTCCCTGTATGAGTCGGTTAGGCTCTCGGATTCCGAACCCCACGATGCTGACCAGGATGCTGTTTCCCGTCAGGGGGCTTTACTAACCCTTCCCCTCCAGAGCCCCAGGCTGTGCTGCTCAGAAGGTGCGTGCAGCCATGGCAGGAGGTCCAGGGCATGTCCTCATGCCAAATGTGCCATCTGGCCGGCCCATGTCCTCTCCTCCTCTCCAGGTGTCCCAGAACCAAACCCACACGTAGCTCCCCTACCCTCGATGACAGCCTCAACTGCTGGGAGGCCCTGCGTGGAGCTACAGGGAGGACTCAGAGATGGTTTCAGTCACCTCCTAGGCTCAGGGCTGGGACTGGACATGGTGAAGGATGGGGAGGATGAATGAGGGTCTGAACAAACTTGAGACTGGAAGTCCAGCACCACCCTTCACCAGCTGGCTGGCCTTGGGACAGCTGCAGCAGCTCCTGGGAGAGGCGTTAAGAGGGCACAGTTGCCCTCGCAAGGTCACTGGAAGGCTGCTGGAATAATGTTTGCAGAGTGCCAGCTCTGAACATTACACATGGTGGGGTGCCCAAGAAGTGGCATTATCTGTTGTCACTAGGACAAGTTATAGATACTGTTCTGAGGGGTTTGGAAGACAGTGGAAGTAGCAGGGGACAGTCACAGAGTTGGGAGGACCATCAATGGGAGACAGACAGCTGGGCAGATTGAGGCCTGCGCTGGTGGCAAGGTGAGTCCTTCCCCGGTCAGCTCCCCAGGGAGTGGAGAACCAGAAGCCAGGCAGGAGGGGCTGTGCCGAGAGCTAGGATGAGCGGCCATGGGGCCCTTGCAGCACCGCCCTGGCTCTGGCCAGTTCCCATCTCCCCCCTGAGCACCGCTTCCCACGCGGCCTTCCAACCACCAGCACCACAGCAAAGGAAATGAAAATGGACCCGATTGGGAAACATGCATGTTTCCTTCCAGCTTCCAGACCTGTGGGAGCTGCCGGCGCCAGGCAACTAGAGTTCAATGCCAGCACTTCGCTGCCCAGTTCAGGGTGGACAGGGTTCCTGCCACTGAAGGGGCCTCCTGGCTGACCATCCCAGGGCAGGGCCTGGGTCTGACTGGTCTCTGCCTCCAGTTAGCACCTTGCCCCAAGCCCGGGACAGGGGACAGCTCAGTGAGTGAGTGACATGAACGCTCTGGCTCTGCATCGGCCACCTTCTTGGCCTTTGGCAAAGAGGGTGTCTCTGCCCGCCTCTGTCTTCCCCGCTTTAAAACCTCTAGAGTAAAGTAAGATAAAATTGCTGCCATTCAGTAAATTCAACTGTGTGTCATGCTGCACACTTCAGCCTTTTCATACATGGGCCCCTCATGTTCACAAGAGCCCCAGGGGATGGCAGGACATGGTGCTGACTGCCTGGGTGCCCAGCCTTGCTCTGACAACTCTGTCTTGGGGTTTTGGGAAAGTCCCTTATTGTGATGAGGCCCTGGGATAATAGCAGTACCTACCTTATGGGGTGTTGTGTGGAATAAATGGGCTCATATTTCTAAAGCATGCAGAATGGTGCTCAGCATAGATGTTCCATAGAGTAAGATCTTTATAGATGTTAACTGTGATTCCTTCATTGGTTGATGGAGAAACTGAGTCTTCTCAGAGTCCCATAACTAGTAAATGGCTGTGACAGAGCTAACCCACTCTAACTGGCTCTGAAGCTGTGTTCCGTACTGCCCCGTATATAACATTCCTTCCAGAGATCTGGCCCATCCACCGCCGCAGAGCACGCAGCCTGGGAGACGGCACTTCCATGCATCCTCCAGCACCCCACTGCATGAGACACCCTGCTCCATGTTTACAGAGGGCTTCCCCTCAAGGGCAGAGGGGCTATGCTTTAGTTTTTAAGTCAACATTTTGTTTGAATGAAAGAATACACATAGAGCAATGCATACACTGTCAGCTCACCGCTCAGTACATTTTCCCTGAGTGAACACAGCCATCAAGCCTGCACACAGGTCAAGAGGCAGAACATTGCCAGCCCTGCAGATGTCCCCCATGTGCCCCCCTCCAAATCACAGCCACGCCCCCCCAGAATAAACATTTTTCCTACCATCATTGATTAATGTTAATTGTTTTTTAAAAAATCTTTATCTAAATGGTATTATATGATACGGCTTCTTTTATGTGTGACTCTTTTCATTCAATGTTTGCAAGTTTCATCTCTGTTCCTACAATAGCCGTAGGCCTGTGGTTCCCATTTCTGTTTGGTAGTCCGTTGGGTGCATACACTAGTTCCTCGACTCATTCATTGTTTCTGGACATCTGGCTGCTTCCAGTTTAGGGCCATCACACTTAGTCCCCTTTGTGGTGCATGTCTGGGCTGCATCCTCTGTGTCTGGCTCAGTCACCAGCTCGTGTTTGCTGAGTGGCTGATATACCCTTGTAGGGATCTCCCGATGACAGAAGCAGCAGGCAGGAAGGTAAAACCTTCCTCCCCCACTTCCCCTGGATGGAGCAGGGTCTCAGAGGGAGTCCCTGCAAACAGCAGGTTAGGGAGAGCCTGCAAGACTGTTGGGCTTAATCTTCCCCCTTTTTCAAGATTGAGGTGAGTGAACATGGGGCCCTGGGAGACACGAATAGATTTGCCCTGTGTTACACAGGGTGGTGAGAGAGCCCAGGCAGGGCCTGGGAGTCCTGACTCTGAGGCCACCAGCTGTCAACAGGCCCCACATGGCCAGAGAAGGATCAGCAGTAGGTTAGCTGGGGCCTCGGGCCTGGTGATCCCTCCGCCAGGGTGGAAGCTACAGCAGCCCCAGCCTCCTGGAGTCCCCATGGGGGGGCTGTGGCGGTCTACAGGGCATGGGGCCCCTCCTCACCTCTGCATGACCACCAGGGAAGAGTTCAGCCTGTGGTCTGGCAGAGTGGGTTCCAATCCCAGTACCGCCATTACTGAGGGTGATTCTCTCTGTCTCCCATGGTTCATCCCTAAACCAGCCCCTGGGCCGGCAGTGGTTAAGGAAATACCTAGCCTGGGGCCTGGCCCTAGACAAGGACTTGATGGCATCAGCCAGGTGGGCTCTGGCCTGAGTAGTGGGCCAGTGGTGGAGTTGGAGGGGAGCAGATGGGGGGTCACCAGGCCCGGCTGGCCCCACCTCTCAGTGGCAGCCAGGACTCCCTGGGCTCCTCCTCAGGTTCCAGGCTACCGGCAGGAGCGTGTGGAGAAAGGCCTGAAGCTCTTTGCTCAGCTGATCAACAACAAGGTGTTCCTGCTGTCCTTCATCCGCACACTCGAGTCTCAGCGCAGCTTCTCCATGCGCGACCGCGGCAACGTGGCCTCGCTTATCATGACGGTGCTGCAGAGCAAGCTGGAGTATGCCACCGACGTGCTGAAGCAGCTGCTGGCCGACCTCATCGACAAGAACCTGGAGAGCAAGAACCACCCCAAGCTGCTGCTGAGGAGGTGAGGGCATGACCAAGTACGGGAGGGTGGCAGAGGTCGGAGAGCCCCACCAGCCCACCCACCCGGCCTGGCCCCGGCTCTCCAGGAAGACCGGGGAGCTCCCAGGAGCAGCCAGGGTCCCTGAGGCCAGGCACTGACCTGCCCGGAGGCCAGGGGGCATCCCCACGCTTGTGGAAGAATCTGCCCATTATGTCAGTGCCCAGAACTCGACCACAGCCCCTCTGCTCCCTGTTGCTTTTCTTCTGCCTCGGTATCTGCTCCCCATTCTCCTCTCTCTGCCCATATACTCCTCTGATTTTGGCCCTTTCCACTGGAATTCTTCTCTCCTGGAAAATGCAAAGGTCAGTTTTCCTGCTGTGGCCTTATGTAAATCAGAACTTGAATTGGAAGTGATACCCCAGGGCCTCTCTGGGAACCCACTTCACCATCTCAAGGTGACAAACATGAGCCCCTTGCAGCCCTCACTGCTGTCCAGGGTCGTTAGCGGGAGTGTCACCTGGAAGCTTGTTGGAAATGCAGAATCTCAGGTCCTGCCCCACACCCACTGGATCAGAATCTGCACTTTAATGAGAAACCTAGGTGAAGTGTATGCATATGAAAGTTTGGGAAGCGCTGGTCCAGCCTGTGTTCAAGGCTGTCAGTGGGACCTGCCTGATGCAATGCAGCAGGTGTCCCTGGTGCCTGCCGCGGCTCTGCAGGGGTCCAGGCCCACTGCTCCACACCCTTGGAAGCCTCATCCTCAACACTGTTGAAACTTGAATGGTCACATGTCAAGATATATAGAGACTCTGATTGTATCCATACTCCCATTTGAACTTCCCAGGTACTTCAAGGCCATTTCTCGGCTGTTATTCCAAGTCTTTAGCCTTTGTGTAGATGAAGTTGAAAAACTTCCACATCAGGCCTGTTCATCCCACTCTGTACTTAGAGCACCCCTGTACTGTCTGCCTCTGCCTGCCTCCTGCCTTCCTCTGAGTCTGAGCCACAGCCTCCCTCTTAGTCCAGTAGATGGACTTGGCTTCCAGAAGTGTTTACTTCAGGCTTTTTCCTGGTACGGTGGGCATTTGCCTGCACAGCTGCAAAAGGTTGCTACACATAGGAGCAATCAACAGCTTTGGAACCAGCAAGGTAGATCATTTTGATTTTTGTTTTACTTTCACCACGCAGCCACCCACTGGCATAATTCTAGGGCTGCCACCGCCTGCCAAAGCGCCCACTGACAATTCCCCGCGTGGTCTCACTCTGTATCTGTGTGTCTCTTGTCTTGTTTCCCATTCACTCTCTCCCAATGGCCCCTCCCTCTTCTGCTGTCCTCCACCTCCTCTTCTTCTTCGTGCCCTTGGCCCCCTTCTTGTCTCTTCTCAGCTCTGTTTTGTGATGGCAACTGCGGCTTCCAACTCTATCCAAACATACCTGGATGCGCCGGTTTCTCTCTGGAGCTGGCCACACACTTTGTGCAAGTGTGAATGGAGTTGGGCTTCCTCAAAGTGGATGTAACCAAAAGCGTCAGGCTTTGGAAGTTTGCTTCCAAAGTAAAATAATAAATAGACTTGGGTAGAAACAAGAAAGATGCAGGTTAGACTCAAGTAGGAACTTCCTGTCATTGCAAATGACACACTAGAAGGATTCTCGGGCGAAGTTCCAGCAGACGTGGAAGCCTTTGCATAGGACAGTTTGGGCATCTCTTGGGGTGAGTTAGGCATACAGCATCATGTTGCTGTCAGCTCTGAAAATCTTCAGCTTCCGTCTCGGGGTCAGTCTAACCTCTCTGGTCTTTTACTATGATCCGCTTCTCTTGACACCTTTCCCTCTATCCCCTGACAAACTGGTATCTTCTCAAGTTATTTTGTTTTTCTTTTCTCATTCAGAAGAACTATAAAGTTCACCAGCGCTGTACTGCCCAGTGTTACAATTGTGAGCAGTATGTGACTATTAAAATCTAAACTAATTAAAGGTAAATAGAATTAAAAATTCAGCTCCTTGGGCACACGAGCCGCATTTCAAGAGCTCAGGCACGTGTGGCTGGTGGCCGCCACATCAGGCAGCGGAGGTGAGAGCGTTCCCATTGCTGCAGAACGTGCTGTTGGACGGCACTGCTCCAACTCTCCCGCCCCAAACCCAGCTGGGAGCCTGACACCCAGAATGTGCTCTGCCAGCTTTGTAGACAAAGCTTGTCTTATTATTGCGGGGTGTCTGGGAATCCACAGAACTCAAGTATTCCTTAGGATGCCAAGATGGGCCTGAAAACCTTAAGTGACAAGCTCAGTGCAGGCTCCTCTTGCTCCTTCCCCACCCTGGGGTCTGACCAGCTGTCTCTGTCTTTGTCTTGCTCTGCTGGGCTCCTTGACGGCTGATGACAGGACTGAGTCAGTGGCTGAGAAGATGTTGACCAATTGGTTCACCTTCCTGCTCTACAAATTCCTCAAGGTATGATCGAATTGTGGGGGTATCTCTGGCTCTGCCACAGTTACCCTGCCAGCCTGGCACCCAGCTGGTCTTCCCCAGCCTGCCCCATTTCCCTGCTCAGCCCCCAAGTCCACACTCCCCTGCGGCTGGCTCTTAGACTCCCACCAAGAAATGCAGTGCCCCCTCATTGAGAGAACAGACCCCTAACCACCTCAGAAGACAGAGCCCCGCAGTGAGTCCCAGCCTGAGCCACGGTCCGCGCAGGCTGCCTTCCCAGGGCTGGGGCTGGTGAGCCTTGGAGAGGACCCTGCATGGGACCTGAAGATAAATTTCCTTTTAAGCAATTAAAAATTGCTTAAATTTTAACAATTTACCTTTTATTTGTCTGCTTGCTCTCTTCCCTCTCCCAGCCTCAGCCTTTGAGGCTGATAAGGGCCCCAGGCAGGTACAGCGGCTGCCTGTGGCGGCAGATAAGCCTATGGTGTGCCTGGGTGGTAGAAGGGCCGCTCGTTCCAATTGTTAACTTGTTGTCTAAGGAGTTCATGCCATGGAGGACTGACCTCTGTCTCCTGATGGGGCTGCGGAGAAAGCAGGGTGCAGCGAGGTAGGGAGAGGGAACAGAGATGGAGCTAGGAGGAAGGGAAGCCCAAGAGCGAGCCCCAGGGCAGTGGTGGGAGAGGGCAGAATGGAAGAAGACCCTGGCCAGAGAGCCAGGAGAAATGCACGTCTGCAAGGGAGTGGAACGCGAAGAGCAGCGCTGTGGGGGCAGGAGAGGAGAACTGCAGACAAGTGGAGGGCAGCCTTCCGGAGAAGCAGGGCCTCATGAGGGCTGGGCTCTGCACCTGTGGTCCAGAGCCCGCCCAGCACGGTTCTCCTCTGTGACCAGGAGTGTGCTGGGGAGCCCCTCTTCTCGCTGTTCTGTGCCATCAAGCAGCAGATGGAGAAGGGGCCCATCGACGCCATCACGGGGGAGGCCCGCTACTCTCTGAGTGAGGACAAGCTTATCCGGCAGCAGATCGACTACAAGACCCTGGTGAGCCAGCCTCATGGCTTTTCCCCGTGCCTCTGGTGGGTGGGCTTTGGTCCTGCACAGCTTGGCCCAGCCGAGGGGATGGTGATGGAAATGCTGAAAGCCACCCTCCAGTTTTGCCCACTGCACGGGTCCAGCCAGGTGCTCTACCTGTGCCTGCCCCCCCAGGGCATCTGGATTTGGGGGCCTTCTGAGCAACACTTCAGCAAAAGACTACTGTGGTTCCAGGCCAGTGTACTGAACTTTGGGGCTATGGGCCTGCCGACAGCTGGCCTACTGACCCACTGAATGAACTCGTTCTCATGTGTCCTGCCAGCATGGAGAGTGAACAGTGCCATGCAGATAGCAGGTGGGGGCACTAGAAGAAGAAACCGGGAAGAGTCTCTCATGGTTCTGAAGCCCACCTCTGCTCATTAGTCTACGTTCAAACATGCCCATGACCAGAGCTGCAGAACACAAGGTCAGGATAGCCTAGTGGTTAACGTGTTTGTCCAGGGAAACATGGGGATCCACTCTGTCAAGGTTAGACCCCCTTTCTTGATGGAAGCAGTCACCCTAGGCAGCAAAGCTCAGCATGCAGGAGCTCAGGGTTTGGATACAGACAGGCCTGGGTTAGAGCCCTCAGCCTGCTGCTGACTGACTGGGTAACCTGAGACACTTGCTTTGAGTTTAGGTTTATTTGGAAAAATGCAGGTATATATATAGAATCTACTAAAACAGGGACAGAGGTAGTATATTGTCCCACTCAAAGCTGTCCAGGGTCTGGAGTGGGATAAGGCGCCCAAGGCACTGAGCCCAGCGTCAGCCCTCCCCTCGGCCTGCCACCTCTGTCCTGCCCTGCTGCCTCTGTCGCGCCCTGCCTACTGGCTCCAGGTCATGAAGCTCACTCTTGGGCTATTTTTGGAGAGAGTAGTATCTCCCACCAGGCCTTCTCTAGGAAAGGGGAGAGAAAGAGGAAGGAAGGGGGGTGGGGAAGGAAGGGAGAAAATAAGATGAACGATGAGTGTGGGGGTGATGCACAGGTGGCGCCCAGGACAGGAGGCCAGGGAACAGCTGGGACTTAAAATGCACTTGTGGAGAGATGAGGCACAGGGCAGTCCAGGCTGGCCAGGGCAGAGCCGGGCAGGAACAGGGAGCCGAGGGTTGTCCCAGACTGCAAGGCCAGCTGGGAAGGTGCTCCCTGCAGCTGGGGTGGCATGACTGTGATGCCCCTACCCCCTCCATCTCCAGAGGGCCCAGAATCCCGACAGGCATCTTCACATTTGCTGGGCTTAGCTAGCTGATGAGACTTCAAAGGGGTGGCGTGAGGTCGGAGGCCCTAGCCTCCTTGCAGTCTTGGTGTGCTCTGGAGGAGAGAGGCCGATTAAAATGAGAGAGGGAGAAAACGTCTTCCAAAAATAGAGACCTTACTAGATTTCTTAATGAGCTAGGACTACCACTGAAACGTCTCCTGCCTGATCTCACCTCCTCCTTCTCCAGTATCAAATCCGACACAATGAGCTGCAATAACACTCTGTCCCCAGATTGCAGCATCTTTTATTCCAGAGGCCAAACTATTGTTAGTACACTGAGCCTGGTTTCAGATGACTGGACTCGAAGAGAATGTGAGGAAATCGGAGTGGGCCAGGGAAGCGCGCCCACTAGGGTGGAAGCACGTGGGAGCCAGGCGCTGGAGGAAGGGGGAAAGACTCTGCGATTGTTTTGCCCACAGAAGGAATGGCTGCAAGGAGATTTAATAGCCTGTGAAAGGAACCCCTGTGCACAGAAGTGGGGGTAAGGAGGGAGAAGGAAAGAGTGTGAGAGCTGCAGAGGGGCTGACCTGAGGCTCCCAGGGGCAGGGGCTCAGTGAAATGACAGGAAGCCAGGGAACTCAGCAGTGGCCAGAGAAGACCAGGGAGCTGTGGGCCGAAGGATGGTAAAGCTGACCTGGGCAGGAGGGACAACCACAGAGAGTGTCACAGGCACAGAGAGGCTTGGGTGTCACTTTACACTCAGGTGCCCCTTTTAAGTGTTGAGTGGCTCACTGGATTGAAACTAGAACTTGGACTGGCACGGCCTGCAGCCCTGCAGTGAGGGCCCCTCTGCATCACCACGCGGCCTGCTGAGCCTGACTGTTCACCTCTTGCAGGGCAGAATCCCAGGCCCCATCCTAGACTTCCCGAGTCAGAATCTACATTTTAACAAAACCCCTCATTGATTTTACTCATATTAAGGCTTGAGGAGCACTGACCTACCAGAAAAACACTGGGCAGTTTGCACAGAAACTAGCCAGGGGGCACAGGAGTGGGGGTAGGGAAGGGAACTTCTGGGCGGAGCTGTGGCCTGGTCAGTGGCCAGGGAGCACTGTCCCTCAGTGGGGTCACTGCTTCTCCCCTGGATGCCCTGAAGTACCCCATGGAGTTTTCATAGTGCCACCATGAGACCCCTGGGGCGAGTGGAAATGTCCCAAGAGCAAAGTCAGGGGGCAGCCTCTGCCTCACCGTCTCTCAGTGGGGGAGCCCGGAAAGAACTGTGTTGCTGCATCGGGGAGGCTGAGCCACTCCATTGTGGACCAGAGGACAGGGCAGCACAAAGCGTCAGGCTGTGCTTGGCCACTGAGTCCAGGAAGGCTTTAGAAGGAAGGAGTGGCTGGAGAGGGCACTCAGAAGGGATACACGGTCCAGGCTCCTTCCACCATTGTTTTCAATTTAGGACATTTTGAAGGTGAGAGTTTGCTTTTATAGATTTAGGAGGGTTTTTTTTTTCTTTTAATGGAATAAGCATGTTCCCGTTTAAGCTCATAGCAGTCTGGTCGCTAATGAAAGGCAGGTGTCTAGGGGCCAAGGTTCTGATTGCCACCACATGGAGCAGGGCGAGCTAGAGGTGGAAAAGGCCTGTCGTCTGAGTCTGCAAACCAGACGTGCTGTTGGGAAATGGTTCGGGGGTGCCACGAAGATCAGAGGGGGGAGATGCATGGAGGGCTCAGGCAGTGGGGTCAGAAGGCAGCTCCGGGAGCCAGAACGGCATGGCCGTGCGGCAGCACCCAGGCCTCACCAGACCCGCCCCGTTCCACTGTGGGCCACCCAGGAGCCACACCAGCTCATCCACGTAGAGAGAGCTCACTCAGAACAGCAAGAGAAGAAAACCCTTTGGAAATGACCCAGAAATTTTTAAAGGAAAAAACACAGTTGGTTCTTTAAGCAGAGTCTTAACTTTTCCAACAAATTCCACAAAGAGAGACTGAGGCCCTGAGCCAGGGTGGCCTCTTCCCCTAACAAGGTTCCAGGTTCAGAGCCAAGAAGGGATCTCAGGTGGCTTGAACCTACAGTTTTAAAAGGGCACCTTTTTATTTTTAAAAAACACATTAAGCTTCTTATGCATTCTCCAACTTCTAATCAGCATGAAACCCTCACAAAAATCGAAGCTTATGAAATCTTGAGAAAGGATCCAGATTGTCATTCATGTGAGTGTATGAGAGGGAGTGACAAGAAAGACTGACACACGCAGGCAGGGCTCTGTGTGTGCACAGAAGGAGCATGTCCCTTCTCTGCCAATGGCGCCTCACTGCCTCCACCTACCTGGACATGGTTCCCTTTGAAAAAAATCAGGATTTTAATGAAGTTTGCTATGACAGGGAGTCAGGTGTGCAGCTCCTACTTCTGTAATGACACTGAAGCCACGGAGCTTTCCTGCTGCTGTCTGGACTGGGAGGCTTGGTGGGAAACCAGTTGGGCTGGGGTCACCCACCCTCTCCAGTCCAACCTGCAGAGGCAGAGCCATTCGAAACAGGATCCCAGGATGCTGTTGGCAATCTTGGAGCTCTTCCTACTGCCCGACCTCCTGCACCACCTCTCCTCCCACCTCCCACAGGTCCTGAGCTGTGTCAACCCAGATAATGCCAACAGCCCCGAGATCCCAGTGAAGATCCTCAACTGCGACACCATTACTCAGGTCAAGGAGAAGATTCTGGATGCTATCTTCAAGAATGTTCCCTGCTCCCACCGCCCCAAGGCTGCAGATATGGACCTGGGTGAGTAGGCTGCCCACCCAGGGAGCTATCCTTGAACTGGTCAGAAGCACCCTCACAGACCAGTGGTGCCCTGTGCAGGGAGCAGGTGTGCACAGCCCCCAGGAGCCCAGGGGGTATACCTCCCTGGCCACTTAGTCAGTGATAAGCAGAGAAGGGGGCTCCATTCTGCTGGCGATACGACTGCCTGGGGGTCTTTTGAGTAGAGTGTGTCATATCTGCAGTGAAGGGTATTTAGTCTGAGTCTGTATCGTCCAACCCTTGCCACAGCCTTTGTGCCCCCAGGCTCTTCCCTTCCTCTCTGTCCTGTGCCTGTAATTTTTGCTGACTACCTAAGGCCAAAGAGATCTGGGTCAGAAACGGAGGATGGAGAGATAGAATAGAGAACAATGAGATGTGATACCCTACTGGGGAGCAGGACAATATTTCATTTGAATGTTCTGTGAATAGATTGCATAGCCTACATAAACAATGGCATGCCACGCAGGGCCAAGTGTACTTAGATCCAGCTGTGGTTTGCCTGAGTGTTTAATAAGATATCATCCTGGGGAGAACCTAGCGGGGAGCCCCAGGCTCTAAAGAGGCCAAGGCTGAGGAGAGGCAGTTTGGCATGGGGGATCGGCCTCCGTCACACCTGAATTTGAGTCCTGGCTGTGTAGGCGTGTTCAAGTCACTTATCCTTTCTGTGCCTTAGTCTCCTTGCCTATAAAGTGGAGGTAATAATAGTATCTGCCTCATAAGAATGATGTGAAATGATGCATGTAGAGGCCTCAGGCAGTGCCTGGCCCATAGTGCACACTCAGTAAGTCCTGGCTGCCACCATTACTGGTAAGGAAATGGCACAGGGCTGTTTGTCGGTCCTGGGCATGGAGAGAAAGGCATTCTAGTGTTTATGCCTGTGTCTGGAGATGTGTGGCGACACAGGGGTGGGGAGGACCTCCAGAGGCCCCTAATCTGTCCGTCTGTACTCTAAGCTGGCTTTAGCTAAGCCATCCAAGACAGCTGCACATCTACACTATTTTCTAAATCCACAGGGAATTTTCACTGCCTCCCACTGAATCAGCCCACCTCTCCCTAAATTCTGATGTGTAAAGAACTCAGTACAGGGAGTTCTGCTAGCTTGCCTCAGTTCTTACTGCCTTACTTAACCCCATCTCCTCTTGCTTGGCTCTTGGTGGGATGTGCTTGGCCCCGTGCCTGGAGCTCTGATGCCCTGGGAGCGAGCCTGGGCAAGCGTATGCTCCCCTCCCTTTGGAGGTATCTCTGTGCACGCTGTTTCTGGGACAAGGAGGAAGCATATGGGAGAGCTGGTGGAGTGGGGGTGGGGGTGAGTGTCCACATTTTCACCCCGGGCACTGGTCCCTAGAGCTGGAGTGACGTTTGTGTCTGCATGCGTGTAGTTCTGCTGCTGTGAAGATCTACAGCTGATGAAGTGAAGGGGCCTGTTATGGAACCAGTGGGAGAGGAAGCCCTCATGTTCCCTACCCCCAAATAATTAAGAGGGTTGCTTCATAATGGGTTTCTCAGGGAGAGTGGAGTATACCAGGGTAGCCAGGTAGCCCCACCAGTTCTTCTGTTTGTTTGTGGGGGCCATCGCAGGGTCCACCCTTGGCTTTTTGGGTTGGAAGGAGAACCCTCACATAGTGGGGCCGAGAGGAGGAGTTGTGACAGCAACTTTCATGCTGGAGGGTGGGTTTGGAAATGGGGTGCTGGGACACAGAAAGAGCTCCTGTGTGAGGTACATAGAGAACTGTGTGCTTCTTGTGCTTGGAGTGGGGTGAGCGCCCATGAAAGAGCAGCAGGTGGCTACCTAAGCCTCCACCTAAAGCATCAAGACAACAGTTTTTGCACCAAACACCTGTTCCTCACCAGAAAAGGGCACATTAAACCTGATGGACCTCAGGAAGGGTGGGAGCCAGTGTTTTCCAATGTTATCTTTTAACCCCAAGCTAAGACAGGGCCCTCTGGAAGCAGATTCAGGGGCCACCCCTTTGGCACCTGCTTCGTTTCTGGAGAGAGACCACTTCATGGCTGGTAGATGCTGCTCAGGACCAGCCCTTGCCTGCCTAGAATCCGTGCATCCTGAACTTGCGAGGAGCTGCTTGTTAGCTTTCAAATTGCTCCCTTAGAAGGCCTGGGGGCGCCAGCCCAGCAAAGCAGATTGCTAGTAAGGAGATGTAAAGCACCCCACAGCCATGATGGGTAGCCACCCAGACAGCTGTGGTCACTTCCTGCCATCTGCCATGTGTGAAGGAAGCCCAAATGCCACACAGCAACTGGGACCTCCCTGAGGGTTGCACACCCTCAGGCTAGAGGCTGCTCAGGCCAGGGAAAGGCCACCTGCCCCCCAGGAGGGCTGGGGCTCCTGTGACACAGCGCTCACCATGACCACCATGCTTCATGTCCCGAGAACAAAGGGGCCACTATCCCACCACAAGTGCTGCTGGGGAAGCCCCAGGGCCCCCCAGCAGGACAAGGCCTTGCAGCAGGAATGGTAAAGGGGAGAAGGAAAGAAGGGAGACCTCAGGCAGTTGGAGCCTCAGGCACCATCCCACTGGAGAAGGGGTGTCATGCTGAACTCCTCACAAAAGCCTCCCCATGGTGGATCACCTTCTGAGGAGTGTCCTTTATTAAGTCCAGGGTGCGGAGCTGCCCGCAAAGCTCCGGCCTCCTTTCTACCAAAGCCGGATTGTACAATAAGGAAAACAGGGTCTCCTCAGAGACTCCAGTGCTTCCTCCACACAGTCCAACTCAGTCTAATGGCCCCAGAGGAAGGAGCAGCAAGGCGAGTTTTTCCCCAGTATAGGAAAAAGTGCTTTGCAAGCCTAAAAGCAGTTTGCAAATGCAAGGTGTGATGATGATCAAAAATTAACCTATGCTGAAGCTACACATAGCACCTCGGCACAGAGGATATGTTCAGCCACGTGCGCGGGACGTGTAGGGCCGCCGGGCCTCACCCTCAGCCCCCCAGCTTCCTCCTTCCGTAGCGGAGGGCACAGGCACAGACCTGCCTTCCTCCGCCTGATGCCAGCCCCTGGCAAGGCCAGGACACAGGTCCCTGGCCAGCACAGAAGGGAGCAAAGACATGTGAAGCCACCCCCGTTCTTGTCCCATGGAAATCCAGCCCCAGCTGCCTCCTCCTGCCTTTCAGCATCACGTAGCCCCTGGCTGGCCTAGCCCCTCGTTCCTGACACTTCCTCTGATGGAAGCTCTCCCCCAACCCTCTTTCACTAGACTTTCCTGGGCACAAAGGAACCAAGAGCAGGGTTTTCCAGAGGAACAGAACCAACAGGGGTGTGTGTGTGTGGAGAGAGACTTATTTTAAGGAATTGGCCTCTGTAATTACGGAGTCTGCTATAATGTAACCCCATAGACTGGGTGGCTCACAAACAACAGACGTGTATTTCTCACAGTTCTGGAGGCTGGGAAGTCCCAGGTCAGGTGTTGGCAGATTTGGTGTCTGGTGAGGACCGGCTTCCTAGTTCATAAGTGGCACCTTCTCACTGTGTCCTTACACTGCAGAAGGGACAGGGGAGCTCTCTGGGCTCTCTTTTATAATCCCATTCATAAGGGCTCCACCTTCATGTCCTGGTCACCTTCCAAAAGCCCCACTTTCAAATACCATCACATTAGGGTTTAGGATTTCCACGTATGAATTTTGGTGGGACACACACATTTGGTCTATTGCAAGGAGGCTGGCCAGTCCAAAATCTGCAAGGTTGGCATGCAGGCTGGAGAACCAAGGAAGAGCCAGTGCTGCAGTTCAAGTCCAAAGGCTTCCTGCTGGCAGAATTCTGTCCTGCTTGGGAGAGGTCAGTCTTTAGTTTTCATGGGGGTTCATCTCATCCACAATAGTGTTTGACCCCATATCTGGGTGCCTTGCCCAGCCAAGTTGAAATATAAAATGAACCATCACAGGAGCTAAAGTGAGGACAGAGGGCCTGCCCTCATTTCAGTCTGTTGGGATCTAGGGAGGGAAGCGTATCACAGAGCAGCTGCTCGGGACTGTGCTGGGGCAGCTGGGCCTCTGAAAGCACAGTGCCAGGGGCACCCCACCCTGCTAGACATGAGGCTGTCCACACCAGGTTTATGTCACTTCCCACTCACAGGTATAGGGGAGGGCCACCACCCTTGTATCAGTAAACTCTTCAGTTCATGTATCATAAGACCTCACTTGCCACAAGCTCTGTGCGAGGCATGAGGGTACCAATGTGACTAGGACGAGCTCGTCATTTCTTTGCACAGTAGTAGAAGGCAGGACGCTCCTCTTTCAGAGCCGTGGGACTCTTCTGTCTCCTCCCTTCACTCTCCAGAGGAAATAATTGATGGTGCTCTGTTCCACTGCACAGGAGAAAATGCAGCTCAGAGTGGCACGGTGCCGGGCCCTGGTCACCCAGCAGGAATAACCATTCCCTCCCCATGCAGTCTCAGCTGCAGGCCTTGACCTCTACAGACTCTTCTGGTTTAAGGCAAATGCTCCACCAATAGCCTCCAGAACTCAAGAACTCTGTCACCCCTCTGTCTTGCCATTCAAGGTGCAAGTCCTGCTGAAAGGATATATTTTTTCAAATAAGTAATTCCTGCATGCAGTAAAAAGATACACTGTCTTCCGAGTGAAATACAAAGAGTTCACAGCAGCTGTCTCCCCAGTTTGCATTTTCCACTGCACCTGATGGGAACGACAGATAAAGATAATGGAATTTTTTTTTCTTTTTTCTTTCCCCTCCCTCTCTCCCTGGAAGATGGAAGTGTAACAAATTGGATTGTGAGTGTGTCTGTCCTTTGTGCTTGGAGCCTGGAGCGGGCACAGGGCTGCTGGGCAGGAGCTGTGAGAGGTCAGAGCTAGCAATTTTCTCTTGGTGTCATGCATATGAATACCAGGGTCACCTTCCCTCCTTCCCACCACCCATCACCTGCCTTTTTAACTGCTTTGACACAGCACACCGAACCAAGCCAGATACACCAGTGGCCCTGTGTTCCATATTCAAGAATACCCCTTAAGG